ATTGATTGTTGTCATCAAACGATCATGAACTCGAATGTTTATAGCTGTGTTTACTTCGTCCAAAGTGAAACGATTATGAAATATTTAACATAATCTCGTATATACGAATCATGTTTGTACGACGAGAAAAAAGAATTAAAAGAATAAATAAAAGAGAAAACAATTTAAGATATAATTATTTTTTCGTAGGATAAATCGAATCAATAATTGACGTAAGCAATGCCTACGTGCAATCTTTATAATAACACAGCTAATTGATATCAATTGATACGGAAGCTCGTTGAATTCATTCAACGGAATAAAAAAAATCTCATTCCGTTGTTATCTTTTTAATGCAAAAAAAAAAAAAAAAAAAAAAGGATTCTGTAGAAGATTCACGTAGGTGCGAATCGGTAAAGCATTGCACAAGGTTACCGCAGCGAGTACATAAGCGCGATGACGAGGCCAAAACTAACGATGAGAAACTGATGCACTTAGAATGCAGACAACCGAGACAAAATACACATATCCGGACACGAAAAATTGCACTAATTGCATTATTCTTCTATCGAGTAAAATTATATTTTCTTTCCAACAATATTATCAAAAAAATATTGAACTTTTATATGTTGTAACTACATCGTTAACGTACTGCAACTTTGACGACCGAATATTTAAGTAAATCCCTTTATCTTTCGCGAAATCAAATCTTAAAATTTTCTATATTCTTATTACTCATCGAACACAACAAAATCCTTTCAGTCGAAATATAATAATTGGACGTAGATGCATCTTATTTCGTAATTACCTTAATATAGTTCCACCGTACACGTGGTTTTCATTATTGAAAGTCTGACGCAATACACTACCATAATAATAGCAATACATAATATGAATAAAGAAAACTGGATAAAAAAAAGAATAAGATTAAAGTAATTTTCCGTATTTAACAATATCGCGTATAATGTCTTATGTTAAATCTATTAAATCACTGGTACTCACGTGAGTTTCGATACGTCAAAATACTGATGCAATACGTGGTCGAAATTAATAAAGAATATGAGAATTCCGAAGCATGAGGTTCCGCTATATTAAGAAGGTCAAAGTTAACCTCGATACGTTCGTGATTTATATCGAGTTACATTAAAGCACCGTCGGTGACACGCCACTCACCCTCGAGCTTTTCCACGTGTGCATTCGAATGCGTCATAAGTTTGTCGCAGCGATTATTTCACGATTCTTCGCGATTCATCGCGACGAGTCACGAATCGATTGAACGATTTGAACAATTTCATAAGAATGATCAACGGTTTTTCGTAACGAACAGCGTTGTGCAATACTTCGATGTGTCAAGGTATTGCCTAGCAATGATTTTGAGATGTAAAATAATTACATCAATGTATTTAAAGTAGTTCGTGAGATTTAAATTAATTAAACCTGCTAATAGAAATGTTATATTTTTAATTATATACGATTAAATTTAAATAAGATCGAGAAATTTTGCGAATTTGACATGAAGAATTTAAAAATTTATGAAATTTAGTAATCATGTGATCTGTTAATTGATCAAATAACCTATCATGGATAAATTCAATTTTTTTTATATCCAAAATGATTAAACACAATAAACTCGAAAAAAAATTAAAATATCAAAGACATTATAACAAATTTACATCACGAATAGAAAATTATCATGTTGTAATTTTTAATCAATTGCGTGAATTTCTTCTAACATATTTCTACCGGTTGTCTAGTTTATCAGCTAAAATAAATTATACAAACTAATGACCTTCTATCAAAAAGTTTGCAACGTTACAATATGAAAAAATCCAAACTTCTTACCCGAACGAAATACGCGTGGCAAGAGACTAGATATACGCATTAACTGTATGCTCTTCTCTTTTCCTCTCACGATACACTACAATAAGCCGTTTATATGACTACAGTGTTACCCACACATGTCAAGCCAGGAAATCACGTTCGATCATCTCACTAATAGTTACAGTACAACCCTTTGAGGGTGGAAGAGGTCGAAAAAAAGCATAAAGTTTGCAATATGGTAAGTGATGCAGGTGAATATCATGGTGTCCCTTTGTGGGCACACGCAATACATGCATCATATTGTTCATGATACAAAGCATTTACATGACACATATAATAGAATGAGAAAGAGAATACTTTTCGTCTTTGTTCTTCGTTAAAAGAACAGAAATAAACTGTCACACAAAGAAAGAGAAAGAGAGTGGCTTGTACTCACCGATTTGTAATATCACGCGAGGTAGCACGATCCACCGAGCCTGGAGTCGTTCCCGTGGGTCAAATGATCCTAACGAGCTCCATGGTTTTCCCGAACTATCGACGCACTCGTGAATTCGTTCCTCGCTGTTATGTCTTTTCTGTCACAGCACGCACGAGAACTCTTTCGACTATTCTTTACATGCAAACTCGATAAGAGAGTTTTGACGGATGCAGGATTAAGACAGCACAAGCAGTTATGACCACCTCGAAGGTCTGTTGCCAACTGACCCAGCCAGTGACAGTTCTTCGTGAGATCTCACGCTTACCAATATGCGTTCAATAAAGTAACTATTCTATTCCGATATGATGGGATCCAAAAATTTATCTAAAACCAAATGAAATAATATTTAGTCCAAATATTTACTGTATGCATTATAGATTCTTTTTAAGGAATACATTACATAATCTTACTAATTTTTTTTCATATTACAAGATTCATTTCAAATAATATGGTAATACAATTTACGATACACGAATAAAAGATTAGAAGACAGAATAATAAAATGTTTGTCAAATTTCTTTATTTATTTAAAAAGAACTTAAAAGATTTATACGAATACTCAAATAAAATTTATTTTTTCTAAATAAACGGAACATCGAAAACTGCGTTATTAACCTTATCTAAAATATATATTTCACTTTAAAACTAATACAATATGAAACGAAGAGGTTTAGAGAGAGTATGATTAAGAAATTTTTTTCGCGAAAGTTGCCAACACTGCCGATCATATGGCAATCAGCTGTAATTCACGTTTTTTCAATGGACATATGTTTGTACTTGATCTAAAGAAATAAATATTCGAAAAAATAAAATTAATAAATATTATTTATTAATTATTATTTATGTTTTTTATAACTTCGTAATTTGTCGATAAAATTTTACAATGATATCGTCAATTTAATACACGTGACTACATCATTGAGATGAATTTAAAATCTTTAGAGTATTTTAATTCAAGGTTAATTGATGCAACGGTTTATTATTCGACAGTTAAATGAGATCAAATATAGGATTAAGCAATTAAAAAGTACGAAGTATGAAACATTAATTATAAGAAAAATAATTTAGCCAACGATAATAAATTGACGATTATAGGATTGTAAATTTTTTTCCAATCTCTAGAAACAAGTTATTTGATAAGAATTTTATTATTTTATTATTATCCATACTTAATACTTAAATAGAACAATTACAAACATATGAAACATATTAAATTGTTCAACAATAAAAATGCAAATACCTATGAAATGCATATATTACTGTGATTCAGTTCATAAATGTTTTATTTACAGATATTAATCATTTATCAGTGTGTAGGAAATCCAAAATTGGATGATATACTAATTAATAATATCAAAATCATGTCTTGATAAGAACATGGTGTGCATATTGATTGCATTTTTCATCAGTCTTAAATAAATCATTTTTTGCCAGATTTCTTTATACCGCCTGTTACAAGAGGTCCTCTTTGACTTGCTTTCTTAGCAGCTTCGGCAAGTGCTTTCTGTTGTTCCTTTTGCTTTTGCTTGAATGCTAGATCTTCTTCATCCAAAACTTTTTGTTCCTTTTTCGGTGCCTTAAGAGGCTTTTTCTTACCTCCTTCACGACCAGACATTCTAAAAGTATAAACTTAATTTTATAAAAATTAATAAACAAATTTTTAAAAAAAATAATGAAATTATAAAAAATTTTCTTATTTTAGTATAATTACAAGATAATTATAATATAGTAATTATTATTAATTTCAAATAAAAATTTGAAATTAATTTGTTATGAAATTGCAAATTTTTTGAAACAATAACCTATATATTTTGTTACTTATAAGATTCGATATATATTGAAATTTATAAAGAATATTTGAAAAAAGAACTTATATTATATAAATAATAAAATAAAAATTTGAAATAAACTTGAATGAAATAAAAATGATTTCGAAATCAATGTTCACAACGTGTAAAGCAATCATATTAAAGTTCAATTAAAGCAATAATTATTTATATTTAACAAAATAAACAGTAATAATAATTTTTTTACCTTATGATATAATCAAACTTAACGAGTAATCCAATTAATGTAAAGAATTTAATGTACTGTAATTAGTATTTTAAATATGCAAGAACAAAGTTTGGTTATTACGTCTAAAACTGAAATGTCGCATGATACTAAAAGACTAAACTGTGCTGCCATCTATTGAATAACTATATATCTATCGAATCGTTTTATAATACTTGTGGCGACACATAACGATAAATTTTCTTATTAATATTTTCATTTAATATTAATTAATTGATAATCAATTCCAGCAAATTTTTTAGCAATATTAAATTATATTGATTGTTTTAATATTAAAATAATATTAAAATAAATGAATTAAATATGCTACATTATAAATAAATAAATATTTATATACTATATAAATTCTTTCCTATTTTTGAATACACTTTTATTTTGAAGATTGTACTGTCGTCTATATTATATCAATATTTTAAGGTGTGTTGGATTGGAGAGTCTGCAGCTCACTTCACTATAGAGATTCGTAAAAGAATTCCATATATATATATATATATATATAATATATATTTTTTATTATATATATATGTATATATATATATATATATATATATATATATATATATATATATATAGTAAATATCTTAATATTGTTTCATCAATTTGAATTTATGTAGAGCTATTATAATGATTATGTAATGATTAAACAATTAAGATAACATACTGACTAAATATAATTGACTGATAAACCAAGCAGCGTGTATCAGAGAATTAATAATTTTTAACAGTCACGTGTTAAGAAAAATTAGTGATTCATACTAATTCATTCACTGAATAGTGTTAAGTGTTAGTGTTAAAAAATGAATTTAAATTTAAATTTAATTGCAGCAACATGTGAAGGAATGGGTATTGGTGTAAAAGGAACGTTACCATGGAAACTTAAGTAAAAAAATAATGAATATATCATAAATTAAATATGAATAATGCATTTTAATCTATTTGTTATTAAATGATTATAGAAGTGAATTGGCATTTTTTACATCTGTGACTACAAATACGAAAAACGCAAACAAAAAAAATGTTGTATTGATGGGACGTAGAACATGGGAATCTATTCCAAAAGAATATAGGCCTTTGAAAAATCGAATAAACATTGTTTTAACGTCACAATCTTTGTAAGATTTATTTTTATTTTATTATTATTATTTTACTAATAAAATAAGGAAAATAATAAAAATAAAGGAATTATTAAAAATATTTAGGGATTATGGAAATGATGTGATTGTATGTAAAAGTATTCCACATGCTTTTGAAGTTATTGAAAAAATCAAAGATCGAATTGAAAATATATGGGTAACGGGAGGAAGTTCCGTATACAAGGTGCGTTGTTTATACAAAATTAATGAGAATTTTTTAATTATAATTTAAATTTAATCGCAGGCAGCAATGGAATCTCCAAATTTTTATCGATTATATTTGACAAGAATAAAAAAATATTTTGAGTGTGATACATTTTTCCCAACTATCCCTAATAATTTTGTTTTAACAGAGTAAGTTCTTTATAAAGTAAATTCATTATAAATTTATTTTTCTTTTTTCTTTTTTCTTTTTTTTTTCTTTTAGAGATCCAAACATACCACAAGGAATTCAAGAAGAAAATAATATACAATTCGTATATGAAGTATATAAAAAAGAATAGATTTTTAATTTGGTTTCAAAATAATATTTTTCGAATATTATAACATTTTTAATTTTATAATAAAACTAATTAATTATAAGCAATATTTTTCTCAATACTTTATTATTGACAAAAGATATTTCTTAAAATTTAAAACTGCGTATAGAATTGTATTAAATGAAATGGAATTTTTTAACCTGGGGGCCAGTGCATTTGGCGACCACCGAGAACATGTATATGCAAATGATATACCGATTGTGCACCATGTTTACCATCGTTGATAACCAAACGAAAACCATTATCGAGGCCTTGTTGCTTCGCCACTTTACGGGCAATAAGCATTAAATGGCCCAACAAAGCTTCGTCCGCATCTTCGGCTTTTGAAAGTTGTGAAATTGGTTTTCGTGGAATTACTAGAAAATGCACTGGTGCTTGAGCATTTATATCTTGAAATGCAACACACTAAAATATTAAAAATTTTTTTCTTAGAAAATTAACAAGGATATAAATTATACAAGAATATTTAAAATTTTACGTATTCATAGTAGCAATTATAAAAAAAAATTTTTAAATACTGAATTATTATTCAAAGGAATATAGTTACAAGATATTCAAAAACCACAAATTGAGATTTGAAAATTTTATGATAAATCATTTAATAAAATAAAAAAAAAAAGAAAATTGTCATAGAAACACAACAAAAATATATAACCTTATTTACATTTTTTAATAAAACAGAAATGTAATATTTGAAATTTAATTTTTTTTATAATAATTCGATTCATTTTACCTTATCATCTTCATAAATGAAATTACAAGGTATTTCTTTACGAAGTATCTTTCCGAAAATAGTATCTCCAGTAGGAGCTGCAACTTGGGCTTTTTCCACTTCGGTCGCCATTTTACTCCAACATGAAGAATGATTTAATAGATTGGTATTAATATATAGTAATCGTTTAGTTGAAGTTATTCCGAGATTTAAAAACAATCTCATTTCGAGCGGATTCAATATATTTTTGTTTACAAAATTAACACATGACTACCACAAATTCGTTACTAATTATTATACAATAAAAAAGCTGCAATGTTCAAGATGCTATGTCACGAATATTAAATGGCGGCCAATTTGAATCGATACGACGTTGCATCATAATATTATATTGTCTATTTCTTGATCTATAACAGTATAAATTTTTTTAGCTTAATTTAACTTAGCTTTGGTTTAAGAATAGTTTCGATATATAAAACTATAAAATCTTTATTTTGTTGTACAGTCTTTTTAAAGGTTTTTCACGTATTTTTACAAATTATGTACTTACTTAGAGATATATATATATGTATATATATATAAATATTATTCATATGATTTATATATATACTGAAGATAAAATACATTTTACGTGCTATTATTTGTTTTACATACATATGGCAGTGTACTTTCTGGTTTTTTGTGGGAAATCCTATATCTTTCCAACGAATCTAACGGGTCAATAGGCCCCAGTCTTACAAGAATAATGCTACTTAATAATATGCTTATAATTAAGTTTACATAGAAAATTAAGGCATAGATTATGAATATTCCAACAACTTTGGAAGGCACACCTAATCAATCATTATACAAAATTGTTTTTGGTGCCCGGAGATGAATCCTATTTATTCTTATTAGAAAATATTTACTAGTCGAGAGGTATTATAACGTGAAAATGAAACGTGAAAATATGAATAGATTCATCATTATCATGAAAATAGAAAATAGAAACGGAAATGCTATTTAGATATATTACTTAAATAAATATCAATAATGTCATTGTTACATACACAAATAATGGAAATTATATGATTATCTAAACAAAGCTTAGAAAGCTGTTACTTACTGTACTATTTAACGACTATATATATATATATATATATACTTAAATTACGATGATCTTTCAAATGCAATAGCTATAGAATTTAAATATAACGATGGTTTCATAAACTGTAGTAAACGTATTTTGCAATTATAATTCCTCAATAAGAAAGGAATATTTATAAGCCGTACATAATTACGAAGATTCATATTCGTGTATTATATTCGTAATAAACTATATTATTTTCTAAAAAAAGAAAAGTACTATGATGATTCTTATACTAAAAAAAAAATAAAATAACATGCTTACGTATTTTTGGATACCGTAACATCAGTCTGCATTTAAAAAATTATTAAAGATGAAGAAAAAATACTCAAGAAAACTAATCATCACGAATCATCTTCAGCAAAATACCGATGTCTGAGGGCTTGAGCCGCAGTTAATCGTCTATGAGGATTAAAGGTAAGCATACCTTTAATTAAATCTAGCCCATATTCGTTGAGATCAGATATTATAGTTGCAAAAGATTTTGGTTGTCTATAAGGAAAAGCTGTCCAACTAAGAGATACATTTTCAGGCCATTCCCCTTGCGATGGAGTTCCAATTATTCTGTAAAGCAATCACTTCAATCAATTCAGTTTCTCAAAATCATTCTCTCCAAAGAAATATAGAATATCTTTATTAACATACTGGAAAATCCTATCGAGTTGGTCACCTTCGCTCGTACCAGGAAATAAAGGTTCAAGTCTACTTAATTCTGCTAGAATGCATCCAACAGACCAAATATCAACAGGAGTTGCATAAGAGCAACCTAAGAGGACTTCTGGAGCCCGATACCATTGTGTCACGACCTATGCAGTACAGTAATTTCTACGATTTAGTATAGAACATAAAATTATGAATAATATTACTCGATATATATATATATATCAACCTACCACAGAAGTCAATCTCATTTCAAAATCGTACGTTTTCGCTAAACCAAAATCTGCAATTTTTATTCTTCCTTCCCTGGTTACCAACAGATTTTGAGGTTTCAAGTCCCTGTGTATGATCCTGTGACTGTGTAAAAATTCTACACCTCTGAGTATTTCCTTCGACATTTGTTTCACCACATGAGGAGGAATTCCTGTCTGCGAACAAGAGGACATGTAAGATGCTAGATCCCTTTCCACGTGCTCGAACACAAGCCATAACGTCAGTCCTCGATCCAATCTCTCCGATCTTCCATCGGCAGAAGGCAAGTGTAGATAATTCCCTTGACAAACGTCCAATAATCTTACCTGCATGCATAACAAAGAATGTGAGTATAAATGCAAATAGAAACGGCATTACCAACCACATAATAATAGCGAGACTTACAATGTGCGGATGCTCGAATCTTTCCAGTTGTTTCAAAGTGGCTATTTCTCTTAACGTGGACGTAGGTAGACCATCCGCCGTCAGGGGCACTCTAACTTTTTTTAAAGCTACCACTTGTCCCGTATTCAAGTCTTTAGCCTTGTAGACCGTGCCATAGGCGCCATTTCCGATCAAAGACAATTCCTGATACGATGCGTCCTCGCCGATTATCGATGTTTGAATTTGCACATCGCTATCCGACTCTGATCTCTTGTTAGAACTGCCGGATAATTCTTTCTGGCCGCTGTACTTCATTTGTGCGATCGTTTCGAAACTGCCGAAGTGTCCTTCCTTCGAGGAACCAGCCGCTGCTACATTTGCCGGTCCCTCCAAACTAGTTTGGCTCAGCTGTTTCGCGGTGTCCAAAGATTCCCCGCCGATCTCGAATGGATTGGTTTCTGACGCGCTCCCTGGTATTACCTCTATCGTGTTCTCAGGTAACGAGGATGCCACCGTACCCGACAATTTCTCCACGCTCTCCAATTCCTCCGTGCTCAAGTCATGTTCCTTCTCGGACCTTCCCTCGATCGAGGCCTCGGAGAATTTCGATTTCTTGGGTGGCGTGGGGGATGAAAGGTCTGGTCCGAGCTCAGAGCTCGGACGTCGAGATGTCCCGGCCATCACAACATTTCGACCTCTACCTGAAACGAAAAAGAAAACCAACGTTTCCGCTACATCGAGAGTTATAAACGGAATATCTGGAAAAAACATGGCCCGGTTAAATTTAGAGAGGGAATCTTTTGAATCGATGTTACACCTGTTCCATCAACAACGATACGCCCGATCCATCGGTATTTCAATCCAAATTTCCTAATTATCGATACGTAAATATTAGTCCCGAATACGAATATTAAGTCGTATACGTCGAACGTGAGACAATAATTGGATGCAGGAGAATATACACGAAACTGATATACTTGTAAGAAGACACTTGTGGCATTTTGAATGTTAAATATTAGTGATTCGTAAAAGTTTCATTAAAATTTTCGTACGCGCTAGTGTTGCACCGTCTGCTGTACAGCAACATCTGCATCGACACCTGCGTTCGTATATAATAGTCCTGGGGCCTCGTCGTCGCCTTTCGAACATCTTGTAAATATAAGAAGGGTCTCTCGTTCACCCCACGCTTTTTTTAACTTTTATTTTCCTCCACGCGGTAATGAATTTCCTCCGGGTGAAAATTTCCTTACCTGGTTATATATTATAGAGGGAAAATTCTTCTTCTCCGAGAACTCTATGTATTTATTTAATTTTAAAATTTCCTAAATATAATATAGTTTCGTTACAAAATCTTTTTTTATCGTTAAGCAAGTTTGCGAGGATAATGTTTGAAGAATAATAATAGTTAGGGACGATCGTAGATAAAATGAGAGAAAGACAAATATCCGTGAAATTTTACTGTATTGCTGTAAACCGTTCGACTGTGTATACAGAATAATTAGACGTCATAGCAATAATAAAGCTGAATGAAGATGTGATAGATAGTGGAATGCGTAAAGAGATACGAAGAGATATCTACTTTACATTGCAGCACAGAGCGATAAAAGAAAAAAAAATTCAAATAATGAATAAGTACAGTGTCTAACGTAAGGGCCAAAAGAAGAGACAACAGTAGATATTTATCGTTTCGTAATATTTACTTACATGGATTTTTTTCCTTCTCTACAACAGGATGTAATAAAAGTATACGTTATGTTATCGTTTCGAAATTTAAAATATGAGCGTTTAGGAATATTATTATTTTATCGTATCAGAATCATTCGTGGATAAAGCATAAATTTACGTAAACGATAGCGTCTTTCACCCTTTTTTTGCTGACTTCGAAAATTGTCAACACAACTAAGAATAAACATCATCTTCGTTGAAGGAGGAAGTTTCATAGTCGGGCTTCATTCGACGTTTTGATTTAGTTTCTTTTATCAACTTCCTTTTGTGATAAGACCGTGTAAAAAAAGAAAAAAAAAAAAAAAGAGAAAAAAAGAAAAGAATAAAGGAGGAACAGAGGAACGAACACACATTTCATCATGTGAAACGATCGAAAAGTGAAACCCACCAAACTTTCTAACGCGGAAAACGAGTTGCTACGAGCTTCGTATTTTCTACTATCGTTTACTATCGTTCTAACAAAAATATCGAGTGGAAAAAGATCGAGGTTGCGAGGTAGATAGAAAGGAAAGTAGCGTACGAGTTTTCGTGTAACACAATCTCCACCGTAGGACCACCTACGCAGTCCAGTCACGTGTTTCCAATGTATCTTTTCGTGAAGAATACAAGAAAACCGTTTTTCCAAGAAAAAAGAGATGGAACGAATCTGAGGAGAGAGCCTCGAGAGAGAGAGAGAGAGAGAGAGAGAGAAGTCTTCTGCCTCGTGTTTCGTCGGGAAGCGAGAACAAGCGGTGGAATGCAAACGCGATGAACTTTTTCCGAGAATCACAAAAAGAAAAACTAGAACGTGTTGGTGGCCAGTGAAGGGAGCGATAACATTGGAAAGCGTTTCATCCGACTCGATAGAAGATAAGGAAGAACGAGACGAGTCGAAATGAAATGCAAAGAATGTAGAAAAGTAAATACTTACTTACTTACGTGTAACATCGAACTTTCTATTAATTCGTTAAAAGAAGAAGAAGAAGAAGAAAAAAAAAAAAAAGAAAAAAAAGAAAAGAAAAAAAAACCGAATGGAACGGACGCAAACGAGGTTTTTATACGAGCTTGTTTCACGTGGAGCGAAGATTTATATTGCTTATACAAATCGAAATCATTTTCTAACATCGATTACAACATCGATCCTCGGATTGCCCAACGATTCTCTTCCGTATCTTCGATATTATGCTACACGCGTTACACTGTTTACGCGCTATGCGTTACGAGGCGATAATGATACGTAAATGTTGAAAGGAATTCTAGCATTTAAACCGGGCGTTTAAAATCTCAAACCAAAGAAGAACCAGTTATATGAATGAAACGTTTGGGCACGCGATGCTCGCGTAAACGAGTCAGTAATTTATCAACTGACCCATTATCGTTGTTACAATTCCTCCATTATTATCTTAGCCTATATATACTTAAACGATGCAACTTAAGTTTTTCGATTAAACGGAAAGGAAAAAAAAAAAAAAAAAAAAAAATACCTGTGATCCAATGAACGATCGATGAATGGATTATCAGATACAGGTCAGGAAGTAATATAGATGTTAAGCAGAGATACTCTGGACTTTCAGTGAGACAGGAAACGGCGCATAGATAAAGTAAACACGAAGGCGCCAGTAGATTTCAGATTATTCATGGGGTTGACACTACTATCTGGCCGGGTCTTTCGTGTGACTAACACTTATAACCAGCCCTCCCATTCACTTCCATTTCTAAGCCGCATCGACCAATAAACAGAACGTTTCAAAACCTGTGTGTACGTGCGCGCGTACGTATATGTGTTGAAGTACAAGAATTACATAGCGCTACTATCGATCTGGAAATTTAAAATTCGAATAACGAATAAAAATAGTGGGGATCTTGGATTGTTGACGGAAAAAGAGCAAGATTATTAATCGACGGCGTATAGAGGCAATCTCATTGAAATCGAGTAACACTTATTGATTTATCTTTTTACCATGACTAATCGATTCGTCGCAATGTGTGCAACGTGGTGTCGTTTTATAAAAAAAAAAAAAAAAATTTTACGTTATGCACGATAGAACATCTGAATATCGTGACGCGTGGAAAAATTGAAGTAGGTATTACTACACAGATAACGTATCCAAATATTTTTAAATTTTTCTACGATAAATTCGATTCGAGATAAGGAATCGATTAATAATAAGAACGAGGTACGAGGTTGAAAAATTTCCCGCGACTTTTTTTTCAAGTATCAACGCGATTAGCATTTCAAAACACTTATGGTTATTATTCAAAGATAATTTGGGACGAAATTCGAACGTTTTCTATTTCGAATTCAACAAGCTTTTTGTAACGCACAAACCACGTGGTTGCATGTACACCGCGATTCGTAAACAAAAGAAGTCGAGGAGGAACCACCCCCGCCAGTAAGTGGTTGACTCTTGTCTTATCTTCACGTGTCGCGACATTCCACGTTCTCACGTTTCAGAGATACGGCTACCGTAACAAACCACGTTCTCACGATGAAAAATCTCAAAGGAATACCATCGAGAGAAGAAACTATCGATGTTAATCGACCAACAAACATCTACGATTTACCATAGGATTCTTTTCAATCTCGATATAATATCAAAAGAAAAAAAAGAAAAAAAAAAAAAAAAAAACACGCAACAAGTGCGTGTCGAGGCTATCCTATTTATCGTAATATCGTTGCGTGTAACGCAGAGGTGCGTGATCGCGTAATTCGAAAAGGTTATATACCGTTCCGTTCGGCGAAAAGGTGTATCCCAAAATGTATATACGTACAACGTACTGTCTGCTCCGGTGAGAGCGTGGTTTCTTCACTTACCCACCGGCTAGGTGCTGACCTCCCACGAGAGAAGTATGGAGCGACGGCAGCAGCGATGCGCTACGAAGAAAAACAGAGTGCGGTTCGGTTCCACGTGCCGGAAGCGGGTATTAACGAACGCTGCCTCGGTGCTGCACTCCCTCTCTCTTTCCGCCTCCTACGAGATGCGTGCACACGGACGCAGAGTTTTGGCTTGCACAACAGAGGCACGAGACACAGAGAACGGGCAGGATGTGCACGAGAGAGACACTTACGGTTTGACGGCGTTGCACGAGGAGAAGCACGGCCGACCACTCGCGAGCGTAACCCAACGGCGACTCGACGAATCGTCGTGCAGCCCGAGCGACTGTGTGCCAGTCGAAACTCGATGGTAAAAGCCAACTGCACTGTGGACCGACCTGAAAAGTACTGACACGACCGGCCACGGGCACGCATACGGCCAGCAGACAGAGAGTTAGTCGTTGCCGAGCCCTCGAGGAAGTAGGCCCGACACTTTCGAGCGGACCTCGCATCGACCGCTACCGACAGCTGCCGTTCTGGCCCTTCCAATGCGCTCCTGCCGCCACGATCGGCCGCCTTATCCGTATGCACGCGGAGAGGGAGGTTATGGAATAGAGAGAGCCCCGAGAGAGACACGCTACTTCGACGCGTAGCGTCGCGCCGCGCCGCGCCGTGCCGCGCCACGCCGGCTACTACGATGCGCGCCGGGGAACCCTTCAATTACCTATTCACAGGACGACAGTCTCCTCTTTCGATTTTATATCGCCTCGTCGAGCCGATATATTAATTGCAATCGTTCCCGGAAACGCGTTACGCTTCTATGCGTAATGCCTGTTATTCCAGGGGATACCGTGAATCATGCTACTTATTCATCGAAATTTACTATCTCCAGTCTATCTGCCGTCACTCTTATTCACTCGTATCTACGTTATTCCGTTAATGAATCTTTCTCCCAGCGGGAAATTTTGAATTCGATTGTCAAACTGATTCGTTAATGACGATGCTTCGCTCGGAAACGAGGGGGAATGTTCTATTAGAATGGAATAGAATATCTGCTGGAATATTTTCTGTTTCGTGTTTCCGATATTTATGGGATAATAAAAATCTTTACGATGGTTGTCGTTTGTTTCGACCGTATTTCGTTTGTCTTCGAGTTTCGTGAAAACACCGCGGGAAAGGGACGGAGAGAGAAAGGGAGAGAGAGAGAGAAAGAAAGAAAGAAAGAGAGAGAGAGAGAGAGAGAGAGAGAGAGAGAGTGTTAGAGGGTCGCGGTAAGAGGAAGCGAGACCGTGAGAGAGAAACGAGATGGGAAGCAAACAAGAGAAAGAGAGGCGATCCTTCAGGATTCGTAAAATCACGATCCCTTGCGTTCAACGCGAAATCTCGCGTAAGAGAGATTTGTCACGCTATCCGTGAAGGGAAACGAATATTTCGATGTCAGGGGGAGAGGGGAGGGGGAACAATCGATAGATTAAACTTTCCAGCCGGGGTCACTGTCACTTCGCGACACACGCACGCCAATTAATCAAAGAAAACGCACCATAGTTAAATGTTTTCCCGTCCAAGTTATTCCCCTCCTCTAAACACGGTCCGATTGTCGAAAATCGATCAGCTTCCACCACGTGGTTCGAGTTTTTCACGTTAACTTGCCGATTGTCATCGTGACTGCGTATCGGCAGGTCGTTGTTCCTGACGGTGGCGCCAGCCCTCGTGAGGAGTCCCGGTTATCCGGCTATGTTTCTCTCTTCTCCACCGATCAGCGTCCGTTGCGCGTCCCGAAACATGAATGGAATGCTTCCTGCGACGGCCGATGTACGCGAGAGACGACGGCTCTCGAATGGAATGGGCCGGTAGACTCTCCAGCCCAGGGACGGACCATTATTGCCAGAGCCCTTCGTAGGGCGACTGCCCAACGACTGCCCATGGCCATCCACTTCCTAAGCGCCCCTTTCTTTCGCGCCCGAATTTCCGGAATGAAGGCTCGTAACGCGGTTGCATGCCGCACGAATAACGCACGTGCTTCGAATTCTTCGAGTGGGAGATAGTTGGATCGGGCGAGATTTTCGGATAAACCTTTTCAAGGTACAAGTGTCGTTCGAGTTTTTTTTTTTTTGCGCCCTATTTTTGCTTTCCTATATATTTTGCCGCCACCATTTCGTTCCATTCCGGAAAAGTTTTTGGTCCTTGATCTCTGGCAAGCGTTTTCATCCGCAGCCGAGGATACGTATCGCGGTACGGGCGTATTTTTAAATCGATACTTGGAGCGTACTCGGAGCGGGGAGGGGGACGCAACGTTTTTCTAATTAAGAGAGATATTCGGCGTGGAGATTAAACGAGACGTTACTGGAAGCGTAACGCAGGGAGGGAGAGAAGAAAGAAAATCATTTCGCGCATCTGCGTGTGACTAAGATCGTGCCGTGTGTATAACAGATTATGATTTTCATACACGTCACTGATTATTCACTAATTTCTCACGATTTGCGCTAATTTATTTCTAAGCCCGACGAGAGGCTTTCTGGAAATGATTACGTGGTCACGGAGACTATATCTCCTACTGTGAATCAATTATTCTAATGATCAAGTTATTTAATCAAATTCTGAACAAAGTTTTGTTAACAAGTGCATGACTAATTCGAAAACTGTAAAGTGAGAGTCATTTTTTTTTCTTGAACGCTGTGCAAATTACTGAATAAAAAGACTATTGCAATTAGATAAAAAAAAATAAAATTTACGATATTTTTAAGGAAGAAACTTAGAAAAGGCAATAAAATCTAAATATGTTTAGATAAAGTACGACGGCATTAAAAACGTGTAAGAATCGAGTTCCGTTATGTACGATATCCGATGTTAACCAATAGTTATGAAGTAACTATTGTCTTGTTTTATGGGCTGTTATTTGAGAAATATGCATAAAAAATTCTGGAAAAACTGAGAGACCTGTGTACTTAACACGTACGATGCAATATCCTACCTTTAGATTGGAGAAAGGAAAGAATAAAAATATCGAAATTATCGAAATGTCGAGCGTATAAAGGATTAATTGTTTTTTCTCTCAATCTCCAAGTTCTATTTCAGCCACCTGGAAATCGCGCACACCTGGTAAGCTTCTACAAAAGCCAGTGAACAATATTTTCGAGGCAAACAGAGGAACACAATGAAGTCGATTGTACAGCTACGAGGGAGCTTCGGAATGCCACGAAAAGTATGCACTTCGATTCCTTATCATCCGCGCTGCAACATTGTGCATATCGATCCTATCTCGAATCGCTAAAAATAATCCTGACCTTTAATAACTATCCTGCTAATCTGCGCAATAAAACAATTGACCGAACCGTTCGGCGCATTGAAACGCGATTACCATCGGGTCATGGTATACTCGACCGACAATTGGTTTCGAGGAACGGATGTACCTGCATACAACGTCTGTATCTACGATTAGAACGATCAATGGATATTCATTTGGATCGCAATCCAATTAGATCATATATATAACGTAATAAGCTCAAATCCATTCTTTCCATTTCGTCGAGGACGTAATAATTTTGCAAAATTACACGATAAAAAAAAATGAATATTAAATAAGAAAAACGAGAGACGCGGTGTCGTAACCGGTCAGAAGTACGATGAACCAAGCATTCGCGATACAATCCTCGGAACGATAGAGGAATGGGACGTAAAGTTGGCGCGCGTCGTTAATTACCACTTTCACCGAATATTACAGGTATTTGTGGGTTGCGGAAAAGGAAGGTCGGAATCAGGATTTGGTCACCGGTCTAACTATCTTGACGAGGACCTTATTCCGGGGATCTTCGACTGACGACGTAGTTACCGGCTGTACCATAATGCCTCTAGCCTCACCAAACTAGACGGCAGACTGGTTTTTGCCCAATTTAGATCCCCCATTGTTCGGTTCAGCTTGGAATGAAAATAGAGAATTGAACGTAGCCGTACCCTGTCCGCGTTGCATAGAAAAACACGGATAAAACGGATATATTAGCAATTCTTGGGCCGATATCCGATGCTACCTTGTATTTTCATATCTCGTCGTTCGATCGTTTCCTTTCTTGTGTTTGTCTTTCCTCGATGATATTTTACGAGGAAATGAATTTCCTTTCAATTGACATCAATTCTCAATATCTTTTCCTCTTCGGAGAAGAATTAAAATATTAAAGAAAATTTCAAGAATTACGATTTACGATCTTCGTAAATTTAAATGTATGGAAATCATCGTTTCTACGATCGATTCAAATTTTTATGAACTTGAAAACTTTTGAAAACTTAAAAACATGTTCAAAAGTTTCGATATACCGACTGAAAAAAACTGTAAATCAAATTATCTATCGAAGGAATCTGTTTTACCAATAATAGAATATTAAGAGAACTACTTGTTTAACAGAATCCATTTATCATCTTATGGAATATAGTGTTCTGAAATACCAATCGTACAAGAAATCAAAATGTTTCTTACCATCGCATAAATAAATTTTTATTTTTTAAATTCTTAAAACCTGTATTTATCTATATCTATTTTAAAACACATTAAAGAATATAATATAAAGATCAAACAATTAAATATTTAAAAATATTATTATAATACAAAAGATAATGCAAAAAGATTTTTTATTAATATTAAAAAACGTGACAAAAAAAATTTTAATAAAAATGAAATATAAGAAAAAAATTTAACATTAAAATAAAATATATATATAATAATAAATGATAAATTAAAAAAAGATATAATACAAAAATAATTAAATCTGAAATATCTGAAAAATATAAAAAAGGAATTAATTATTTAAAAAATAAAAATATAAATTAATAAATAAATATTTAAATTAACAAATATATAAATGAATAAGCAAATAATTAGAAAGTAAAATTAAATAATATATTATAATTACAACAATATTGAATGTTAATAAAAAATAATTAAAAATTATTTTTATATTATAATAATAAAAATAAAATGTTACAATTTCTATCCGATTTATCCACGATCTATCCACGACGGAGGTTCGATGTGAAATAATCGCTTTCGAATTCGAGTTTTGTATTTATAAAAGGTCGCGCTCGAAGACAAATAATAATTTACGTTCTTCGCCGGTGTTTCAAAATAACTTTTCGAATATATATTATAATATATTATAATATAATATATATTATAATATAATTATATAATATATTATAACATAATATAATATAATAATAATAATAAATAATATAAAATAATATAATATAATATATTATAATATAATATAATGCTTAATAATTTAATAATTTTTAGATTTTTTTACATTAATTTATGCATTTAACAATTCATTACGACAATAAATCTAATAATTAAAATATATTTTTACTAACTAAAATTAAATTTATTATTTTAAAATACTAGTTTCCAACTTATATTTATATTAAAATATTTTAATTATTATTTTACACGAAGATGGATTAAATTAAATATTAAATGCATTTATAGTGCTTAATAATTTAATATTTTTTTTAGATCTTTTTTTAATTTACTTTATTTTTAATTTACGTTTTTAATAATATAATAAATATAATAAATATAATAATTGATACATTTTTATAAATCAAAATTAAATATAATTTATTTATAATTTTAAATGTCATTTTACGAGATTAGTTAGAGTAATCACTAACTAATTTGATCAATAGTGATCAATCGAAATTTTAAATACAAGTTGTAGTTTATATTAAATTAAAATTTTATGTTATTCTAATATATGTATAACAATTTATAAATTTTTTGATATTTTATTAATATATAATAAATTTTTATATTTTTTTAAATGTTAAATTTTTTTCTTTATCATTATATTTTATGATGAAATTAATATTTTTATCAATAAATTTTGCATCACGCTAAATCGGTAACATGAAAAATAAAGGGATATAAATTGGTAAAAAGACTTTAAGCCTTCCGGATATAGAACAAAAAAATATCTTGAATGATAGATCTGTTCTCTGCTTGATGACTGAGACTTTTAAAATATAGAACTGATTTCTTGCATGATTGGCATTTCAGAAAACATAAAAATTTCCATAAATCTACAATTTAGTAACGTGATTATTTTTTAAAAAAGAAAACATTGGAAAGCAAACTACGCGATATATTTAAAATATATGTAAATATTATATTAAAAATATCAGATAGTTTAATTAATATTTCTTCAATTTTTTATTTAAAAAACAATAAAAACTTCTGAATACTAGAAATTTAGGAGTTACAAATTGTTATTTAACAATGGCATAAAAATAAAAAATTTTCATAGATATATCTAACGAAATAAAACTGATTGATCATCATGATCGTATCATTAAATTTTAGGAGAATATTAGGAAAATAAAATAACTATAATAAAATTTAAACTATATCTAGTTCTTCGAACCGATGGGAATAAAAATAATTTTCATTCTATTATTCTATCCCGGATGAGGACGAGTTACTGACCGAGTAATTTCATGGATACTTGCCCAAGAGGCTACCCGTTATACAGAAATGCAATTTTAATTCTCTATACGCTTACAACGAAGACAAAACCCACTAAGCTTCTCAAAGTTCGAAGATAGGAAAAGGTGCGCCCGTATTACGTGAGGTCAATTGGTAAGCAGGCTTTGCTCGACGAATGCACTCAATGAATTTTAAACGAAACCTTAAAAAAATTTTTATCTAGAACGAAAAAAAGGAAAACGAGAAAAAACTTAAGCACCAATACATATCGTACATATAGTAGCGTATCCAAATCGAAGAATTCAAGCTTATTTTTGTACAGATTCGATTTATTAAGTTTTTAACAGGATGGCGAGTGAAATTACGATGCAATTTCAGAGCATACATCGTCTCGAAGATCAATGTTACTCGGCTGATCGAGGAGGTAGCCTTGCGCATTCCAATCTGGTTTTACCATACTGAGGAAGAAGAGAGACGAAGAGGAAGAAAATGAAGGGTCGCGGTCGTACGAAAGAGCGTTATATCTGGATCTGGAATGATCGAGATATTTTCAAAGCAAGCTCTCTTATGAACATCACGCGTCTTGCAAAATTAACATCAAATTTTCCAAAAGAATCGCTCGATCGTTGCTATAAACGTGAAATATATTTCTTTTTATTCTATTTTGCATCTACACTTGAAGATTGCTAATAGAATGCCTTAAAATTTTATATAATAATCGCCTTAATTTACCCCTTCTAATTACAACAATTATTATCTGGCGATAACATTATTGTTGATATAAATCAGTATTTTATTCCAAAAAAAAAAAAAAAAAAATAAATCGAAGCACCATATTAAGATAAATTCTATCTTCGATTAATTTCAATATCAATAACATATTTACATTTCGTTTACGAAATGTCATTATTTATTCGTAACCGATAGAAAATCGAACACACACGCACGCATTTTGCACAATTACCCGCATCTAAGAAAATCGGCCGTTCAATTGACGCACTATTTCCTATGATTTTCTCCCTCGTAGGAAAGACTACGTTTTTTCTTTTAGAGAGATAAATTCAAAGAAAAGAAAAAACAGCGTGCAGATTGAAAATGGACGCTTTCTATGCAATTTCGATGATAAGAAAACCGCACGGAGAGAGATTTGTTTTGCTCGACAAGTTGCGAGACGAGCGAGAGGAAAGTAGACGAAGGAAGGAGAAGGAGAAAAATGTGAATTTAAAGATGCACGAGGTCGCGAGGGAAGTTCGGAATCCCGAAAGAATCGAAAGGTAGGTCGAGGTACGATCGGCCGTCAAAATGGGGAAGAAAGAGAAAGAAGAAGGAACGTGTTCGAGAAGGAGAGTGTGTTTGGAAAGAAGAAAGAAGGAGCAGGATGGCGAGAGAAATTTAAAGAAGAGAGGGGGGAAGAGCAGGGAATCGGGTAGACGGTGGAAGCCAGCATGGTGGAAACAAGCCACGAAGAGGTGATGTATACTTTAGAAGAGTGTAGTATAGTGCACCATAATGTAGCATGGCATAGTTAAAGTGGGAGAAACCGTGTATGACCGTCCTCATCGTAAGCCAGTCCCGTGTGAACGACCGTGAAGCGAACTTCGAGCGAAACTCGATCAAACCTTGAAGGTTTTCGTTCTGTATTCACGAATTCGCTCTCCAATTCTTCCCAAGATACCGATTCAAACAATTGCTTCACGGTAACGCGATATCAACGTGCAAATCTTCGATAAATGATAAATTAGATTCGTAATTAGATCGTAATTCAATGAATAAATTACTACGAATAATCCTGTGAATTTTGTGCAAAATCGATAATATTCCTCCCAACGAGTTTGTGCAATTGAATTTGAATAATGTACGAAAAATCAGTGCAGTTCTGTGACACGTGTACGTCGTTAAAAACCATGTAAGAAAAATTGCAAAGAAAAGTTACAGGCCTAGATGTAAAGGGAAATTTTCATTTTATTCGTAAAGAAAATATTCGAAGTAAGAATCGCGTGATACTTAAACTCGCGAATAGTAATAAAAATTCGTAATTTCGAGAAGGTGGAACGTTTTTTTAAATCTTCGATTTCAAGTGAAATCTTTTCCGCTTTATAATAAGGACATGTACGACATCAGCCCGCATCGCAAAGGCTATGACGAAATAGAAATGACGATATAGGCGAAAAATTACGAGAAAGGTGGAGGGTAAACTTGGAGAAACTTTACAGACGTAAAAAAATAGTGAAATTAAGGTGACGAAGATCGGCGGCATACCACATTGGCCGAAAAGCTGACGAGTACACCGGACCTATCCGCGGCCAAGTAGGTCAACCGGCGTGCGCGAGAGTGCGAGACCGAATAAAAGACAAGAAAAAAGTGATTGGGGGGGAAGGATAAGAGAGGAGGGAAGGAAAGAATGGTGAGACGGGGGCATTAATGTTTCCACGATGCCCGACGTTTTTACTCGGCATAGGCTTGCAATCCAAAATGGCGGCGATCGGCTGGTACCGTGGCACGTTTTGCAACGATAAAGAGTGGTCAAGCCACGAGCATTCTTGAGGAGGTCCTTCAAAGTGTCCTTGACCATTAGCCTGACCTTGATCAGGACGAGTAGCCTAAGCGACAAGCCAAAGGAATCAAAGGATGGTAGGGCACACGGAGTGGAAGGTCCTGGTGACCTTGTCGATTCAAATTCTATTATTAGGTAAGTATGGATGGATACTGCTCACGCCGCATATAATAAGAAGAACGAACGAGAGAGGTTTTACGACGCGCGTTAATTAAAATTTTATATCCCTAACTGTAATTATCCAGAAGATTGAACTTCCTGCTGAAACAATTTAGGATCTATCTTATGAAATAATTTGATGTTCCAATTAATAAGATAATTCCTGGTTTCCATTGACGAGGGAGCACAATTTCCGAGCACAACTCGTGTGCAACGCATCGACGATACTTAACCATCGTAATAGAGTTTTTCAGGATGTCTAATTTTTTTTCCATATAGTCGCGCGCGAGTGTAAGTAAAGATTCTAACCTCCACAATCGAAGCTAACCATAAAACGATGCAAATATTCGACGAATTAATACGCGAACCTGTTCCATGGGCTTGTCAAGCGGCCACGTGCGGTCGAGTTTTAAACCGGTATCTTGACCTCTGTCGAAAATCTTATGACGTTCCAATGGCAAGATCAAAAAAAAAAAAAAAAAAAAAAAAAAAAAAAAAAAAAAAAAAAAAAAAAATAAAAAAAATAAAAAAAAAAAAATAAAAAATTCACACGCTATCTCCATTTCGATAACGACTATATTACGAAATCATATGTAAGAGATAAGTTCGTCAAAGAAAATAATAAAAATTAAAAAAAAAAAAAAAATCAATTTTTCGTAATCGATAACGAAGAATTTATTTCTTTGAACGCGGATGTGTAAGTAGGCGTAGATCCGGTTGCATTTCTAGCTAATATCGATACACGAAGTGCATGAACAATTTATCATGATAATCTTGCAATGCAAAGTTACAACTATGTAGAGCCAGCCGGTTCAATATCGTGGAAAGAAGAAAAATCAAAAGTTCGATGACCCGAGTGTTAACCTGCTTATAAATATTTAAAAGTAAAGTTCGAGATAATTAGCTTTTTGCACGGTCCAGGAATCATCAGGTTTTTCCATTGAGCGCGTTGCATTGGTAAAACACGATTAATTAAAAGAAAAAGAAAAGAAAGAATGAAATGAAATCTCGAGGTATATCATCGTCTATAAAACGAAATACACATGTCACAACCGTGTTTCAGAAGCGACAGAGGAGAAAGCTGCAAACATGACGTGCATTTACGTTACTGGCACGTACCTGTTACTTCGAGATTTCCATGTCCCAGTCTAACGTGATTGCATTAAAAGATCAATAAAACCAATGTTTTTATTATTTATTGTTTTTCAATATAATCTTTGATCGCTGTCCGTGATAAATTGAGCAATTAAAAATGAATAAATAACGAAATAAAAGAAAAAATTGATGATAGAAATCGAAAATTAATCGATAGATTTAGATTGATTGGCTTATGCAAATTACATTTTTAGGTATGGTCGTGAGCGAGGCTCACGAATCGTCAGTCGAAATAATTCATCGTACGATTTAATCGAAATTTATATATTTATTTTTTCACGTTTCGCAATGAGAGAAATTTGCATGAATCGTTGAACGTCATCGTTTAACGTCCTAACACGGATGTAAAACGACACAAAGAAAACGTATCCGGAACAGAGTTTCGTCACTCGACTTTCGCCCAACCACGTTAGTTGTGAAAGTGTCACGAAATCGCGTTGCACATGGTGGAACAGAAAGTCAATTGATTTGTCATTCGAGATTTCATCTTGGGGGAAAAAAAAAAAAAAAAAGAAACGAAGATTTCCTGGTAATATCCTTCAAAGAAAAGCAATCAAGAAAAATCCTTGGATCGTATTAATTTGCAAAATCGATCAGATCGTTCTACAATCTACTTCGCCTTTAAAATTAAAAAAAAACCCTTCTCTCGTTTAATTAACCTCGAGTATTAATCACCAATGCAAATGAAAAAGCAGTGTCAAGTAGGATGACAATGAATCGCGAAGAATGAATATTGGAAGAAGGAATATCGAAACAATGACTTAACTAACTCTTGGTCAATACCACATGCGTGGAAGATCGAATGGACCGTTGGACACCTGTCGAATCTGGCAGTGAAGGTACCAAATGTCACGTTTACCAGCGAAAAGAATAAATATTGGGCTGGAATGGTGTACCGTTAACTCTGCCGTTACCGCCTCGAGAGACGGCGCATAGCTCCGTCTACGCTTCCACGGATTCCAAAACCCCTTCGACGTTTCTTTCTTTTTATTCGAACTCGTGTTAGACACTGTTAGAATTGCGTCACAGGGTCAAACGATACCACACGCGACTCTGGCCGTATTACAATTACACGCACGTTCCACGCACCAACTCGAAACTGCCATTTCTAACTGCAATTTCGCTAAAGGTTTAATCTTTATCGATTTTCTTCCTCTATCCCATACACGATATTATTCCAAATAGACGGAATGAAAATACGTGGTATAAAGGGGAGATTATAAATCCTCGTGAATCCTAATGAATCCAATGAGATTCCATTACCACAATCCAGCGGTTGGCAAATATTATCATTACACGCATATCCCGCGATGCAATCGAAGGTATCCAGAACCGGTAATATTTTTTACGTACGTTTTGCATAAGAGGCAGAACTATGTTACCTCGTTACCTCGTAAAACCGTGTTTACCACGGACTACGTACCACGATCGTGTTTTGTAATTCCCTACGAAATTAATCTCTTTAATATATAATCGGCAATTTCTCATATAAACGAATATGCAATAGATAATTTAATCCTCGTAGAATATCGCCACAAAAGAAAACGACCTCTCGTGCCAATCGAAATTTTCTCTTTATTCTATTTTATTTCTTGCCACGATCGCGATGAAAAGTTAAGAGTTAAAACGTTGGAAAGGTGGAATTACTAATTAACGAAGTAAAAGTACGATGGTTGCAAAAGAGTGATTAGCGAGAGAACGCATCGCTAATTATTTCGGGCAATGACTTCGGGCGAGCGGCAACGAGCGCAGCAGGGAGGCGTAGGCTCTTTTAAGCCTCTCCAAGGATCTTTCGGGGGAAACTCGAGTTTCCAACATGACTGAGGGATCGCATTCCGTTCGTCGCGACAGAATCAACCGTGCAATTCACCTACATTCTCACGGGATCCCTATCCCGATGCTCTCACGTTAGCAAGGTTATGGTGTTCGTGAACACCGTTACTCGTTCGTAGCGTGCAACCCGTGTTTGTAATTATTATTTATATGATGCCACGATCCAAATGGGAAACGAAAGTCTCGCTAACACACATGTAACTTTGTAACTAGTTCAACTAGATATAAAATATAATGCGTTATAAAGCCCCTACGGTCATGCGATCATTGATGATACGGTAGATAAGTTGATGGATCATCGAACGATAAACTACGGAATGGGATAACTATAATCACGAACGTGAGATTTCAATGAAATTTCAGTTATCAGTTTTGCCACGATAGTTAAGATAGTAATATCTTTATAATTCGTAATGCTTATTAATTATGCTTGGAAGCTAAATTGGAATAGTTTTGGAGTACGATTGTATATAAGATATTGTAATAACGTGTCATTTTTACGAACATGAAAGAATGGCTTAAAAAGAGGAAAATTATTATGAAAATTTTTATGAAAAATATTATTTTATCCGCGGATGGATATGCGTTGTTGTATACATTTTTACTGTTTTTGTTGGAATCAAAGAGGAAACATCGGGGGCATGATGCTCGACGAGTAGAACGATGTTTAATTGCGATTACGAGCAAGCAACGTTTGAAAATCGTGTCGCTTCGTACCGTTCTTAATGACCAATTAGCGATACATCGTATATATTCGATATAACTGTTGCGATTCGCAGGAAATGAGAAACGGAATTTGGCGATCGTTGCAGATACGTCGTGCAGAAACTATCGATCGACGTATCTTCCCCGAATTCATTATGATTTAATCGCGAAACAAAATTATAGGTCGAAGTCAAAATTATGCTTTCTAAACAATATATACTATACTGTTTCGCTGATGAATAATTAATATCTTAACGGAGAACTATACTCAACGATCTATGAAACGATAAATTATGGAAAAGCTATTATTAAAAATAAAAATAACAAAGAACGATAAATAAAAACGATGTATTCAGGTTGTAAACCGATCCCTGTTCTCTCTTCTGGGGAATAAATTATCTTATTACCCATTCTTCTTCTCTGCCTATCTTTTACATATATACACGCAGATAGATGCACAATCCACAATTCCACAGTTAAAAACCTGAAATCAAACCAAAGATTATTAGAAATATTAATTAAGATTGAATTAAAAAAAAAAAAAAATTGCAAGGAATTGAAAAAGAAATAAATAAAAAAAAAAGTTTCTTTCACCCTTCGAATCAGCGATTCCCTTTAATGAAACGAGACCCCGTTAGATCGTTGCTCTTATTATCCCGTTAACGAGAGGAACTGTCTCGGGACTGGACGCGTATTCCTCGAAACAGTCGGTCGAAGACGGTGAAAGGTCTGAAAAGAAGGAAAAAGTTCAGAGGAAAATGATACTATAATATGCACACTTTCTACGGGAGACAAAGCTGAACGTGTCGTTCGCGGCCTAGTGCTTTCGACAAGATCGCACTTCGAGTTACTCGAGTGGATTTCTCGTGGCGCGCTATCGATCGAAACTATTAATTATCTCGGTCAGTGTTCCAGCTGATTCCACGCGATTCAATACACGCTCGATGGTCACTTATCTGTACGAACGACGATGATAACACTGACAGCCTCACTTAGTTTCACTCAAATTGCTTCTCGCGTCGTTGAATTGTTGCATATAGAAATTTCCTATTGTTTCTGTCCCGTCTACCGAACAAAATTTCAAATTGCAGCTCGATTCGCGAATACAAGCGTGAAACGCGTGAATCGCGCACACGTTCCAACGAGCACGAACGAGGTAAAAGCTGTGTATTAAATACTCGAAAGTCGAGTATTAAAACGGGGCAACGCACGAGATCCTGATCCTGAGGGAATGATCTGTGAAAATCGCGAACGAAGATTAAAGGATCTGAATTTTAAATGTATAATAATTGTAATTCATTCTCTCCTAGCGAAAAACGTTGCGAGCCGATGGTCAATGAAGCATTTTTTTGAATCCACCTCGTGATAAAAGAAGGAAGGTGTGGGACGGGAAGGGGAGAGGAGGAGAGAGGAAAGAGATAGTGGTAATTTCATACGCGTCACGTCCACGGTTGGTCAAACCACTCGATACCAAGCCTCGAGAATGTCAACCGTTCGAGTACCGTTTCCCTTCCCGATCGCCTGTGGATCTTCTCCATTTTTTGCCACTCCTCTCGACCCTTCCATGGTTATCGACAACGCGACGTTTCTTGCATGCCGGCAAAGCGATCCGAGCAAATGCTCGATCGATCTAAGGAACGTCTAAGGAAACAATTACACAGGATTCTACTCAGGATCGATCGTCGCCATCGAAACGAACATGAGAGAGAGAGAGAAAGAGAGAGAGAGAGAGATTAATGAGAGAGGATTGTGGAACAAAAATAAGCGAATAATACGGAGTGAACTTATGAGAGGAGTACCGTTGGAAAAATTATTTCATCTTCGTTGAATCTTTCTCACGCGACAGACAAAAGGCTCACCTTTAATCCCGATATAATTGTCTATTTTCTTGTATAGAATAATCACCGCCTCTTCTTCGTATCCACGATAGAAACAGTTTATTCACGGATCCTATTGTCCGTAGGCGTCTCGGCCATCCAAAACGATCCAACGTCTTCTCGTTCCTCCCAAGAAGACGTGATTCTGAGCGCCAGCGCGTACACGGGTCCGGAAAGAACATCGAACGCGTTCCATCGAGATAAATCGCCAACTTTCCAAAGAACTGCTCCTGCGTTTCAACTGGAGAGCTCGAAAAGCGTAAATGATTACGACAAAGAGGAGGTGAGATTCGAGGTACGAAACACCAGGCACGAGGATGAATCCATCGACGAGTTAACATCCTCGAAGCACGTGGATCACATCGATGGAAACAACATCGAAGTCAAGCCCGGCGAGTATTACCAGTAAGTCGGTCAAACTTTCTTTCTGCAAAATAGAAAGAGAATAGGTTATTTCGTAGAAGATAAAGTAAACGATGGAGAAACGTTTTCCAACGATTTCGACAGTATATCTCCAACAACGAGCGAGTCCATGTCGGGGGAAGGACAAGGGGCTCCGCAGGAAGCAAAACTCTTGTCGGAGCCCCATCAACTGGCTGGAGTGTCGAACCAACAGGCACAGTATTTGCAAGCGATAGATCAACAAAGGCGAGCCCGCCAAGAGATCCCGAGGATCTATAGCGAGCACGCCCCGCCGCCCATTCTCCAGACTGCATCCCCAGGTCGACAAGCAAATCCTGACATACAGGACATAATCACGGGTATTGTCAAATTGTTGAATGGAAACGTGAATGTTGCTGCCAATACGGTGAGGCCGTTGAGGCCGATTCAAGCCACTAGGTGCGACGATTTCCGAATTTTTATCCAATAATGTGTGTACGTCGTTCTTTCATCGTTCACCAATTCGTTTGATCGAATTTTTCTAGGATCAACAACAGGGGTCCACCGAGGATCTCCGACGTTCCGCCTTTGCCACCCGATTTCGACACTCCTGGGATGAATCCACCCCCTCCGCCGGATCATCCCTATCCTTTCGAAAAACCACCGGCACCCGACAGACCGTTGATCAATCAACTACCACCCGAAAGACCGATCAGACCTTTCGTGAACGGGGTTCCATTGCCGGAGCAAATTGTCCCTCAAGGAAATCGTCCGTGGACTTGGAATCGGCCTGGTGAGTATCGCCTTTTTATTAAATATCATCTCTCTCTAATTTTTCGGATATCGGTTTATTCGTTGCTATTTTAAACTCTTAGGTGGAAACAGACGACCGATTCCTCCGTACAAACCACTGCCACCGGCAACGGATTCCGTCCTCAATCGGGACAAGGAGCAGAGCGACAAGAATAAACATAAAATCGATCCGAAACCCGAAGCATCGACGGAGGAAGCTACCACGAAGAAGGAGGAAAATGATCAGAGCGAGGCTACCACGCACGATAATATGGAAAATGTGACCAAAAGGTACGAGGAGAGCAACAGTCAAAAGGTTAAAACCGATTCGAACACCACGGAAAAACCAACGAGCGAGACCAAGAGTCCCGAATCCGAACATCCTGGTAAAAAAGAGAATAAGCATCAGGCTCCTTCCAAAGAGAATGCATCGACATCCGTGATGGAATCGTCTGGTGACAAGAGCAAGACGAATTTCACGAAGCAGGAAGACTCTCCGAAATCTGTAATTCCGTTGGAAATCCCTACGATCAAACCTACGAAAACCTCGAAAATCGGCAACTCTCAAGGATCGAGCGCGAGCAACGAAAAGGTTAACAAAGCGAGTATATCGAAGACATCGACGAAATCTTATTCCACGTCAACGTTGAGTATCGAAACCAGTTCGTCGATCCAGATAATCGAATCGACGACGACGAAATCGACTATCGTCCAATCGACCGTCCCTCAATCGACGAACGACGATGACTCGAGCAATATTACATCGCAGAGCACGATTGCTCTGCAACCGAGCAAATCGGCCGAGTTGGAAAGCACGAGTATAGTGTCGATTCCAACCCCAACGGAGAATTTACCTTCCCTGTCTTTCACAAAGACATCGTCGACCGTGGAGAAAAGTATAGCTCATACCCCTGCGACCAACGCTTTCTCGAAGAATTCAGGTAGGAAATCCGCTCGGGTGCACGTGAAATTTTTTTCATTCTCTAAGATAATATTACATTCAATCTATAATGAATTCCTCACGCAGCTTCGAACGAGTATGCTTAATTAATCACCTTTGTGGAGACCGGCAATCTGTCATGCACAATTAATTCCCTTTGTAGCCTCCACCGATCGCTATGCTTACCGACCCCGGCCTGGAATCGTCCTTGACGATACGTTGGATTACACGGGGACTCAAGGGTTGGCTACTCAACGACCTTACGCGCCACCAAGACATCCACCTCTCGGTGATATTTTTGATGTCACGGTCTCTGCTGTTCAAGGCCCTGGCGGTGGAAGTTCAGGTAAACACTTTCGAGAAGCACTTTGATCAATTAAAAAAAGAAAACTTTTACTTTTACCACGATCTCGTTTTCTTCGTCCTTCCGTCTTCGATCAGAAGGTGTTAGAGTGCCGGTAAATGGAGGAAATTCGGACGTGATCTTGACTTCCGCCGTGGAGGGCCAAGGATTCGTCAGTATCGATGGGAAAAGGACGTATTTGAATTTATTCGAGAATTCGGATCGCACTTCAACGCACGTGCAACCGCAGCCTCAACCAACTAGAACGCAACCACCAGCCATTGTTGGTACAGGGTCGGTAATACTCGTGATATCGTGATATTTCTAATTTTTAATTTATTTATTACTTACCGAGTTTATTCTCCGACAGGTTCGCGGTTGCACAGCCAGATCCACCGACGGCGACTCCTCGACCCAGCGGACCTATTCGAAGGCCAACGTTTCACAGAAGACCGACTCAACCTCCAGTCAGAATCGACACGTGCATCGTGGGCGACACGAGCACTTGCGATATCAGCCAACACGAGGCTTGTGCCACCGTTCAAGGGGTGTCTGCGTGTCACTGTAAGCCAGGATATGCCAGATTGCAGCATTCTCTGCCGTGCAAAAGTTCGTAAATATCCTCGAAAAACTCTAATCGCTTGATTTCGATCAGACTGAAACCGAATCCATCAATTTTAGAAATTATTAGCATCGTGGTGTCGATCAGAGTGGATAAAATTTACGATAAAAAAGTCGTGTGGGATCGAGGATTCACCGATCGAGATTCCGAACCCTATCAAACGTTGGCCTACGAGGCAAATCGAGCTGTGAGCGAATTTAATCTTAAATCTGCCGATACAATATAATATCTGGATATTAAACGATTACTTTTTTCTGTTTTCTTATGTATATATATAGATCGAATCTGCTATGTCGATGACACCATTTTCAGACGAGTATATGGGTTCTTTTATAAATGGAGTGTATCAAGGGGATGTGAGCCAAGGGCAAGGAGGTGTATTTGTGAATGCTACCTTGAAACTCATTTATGAGCCAAGAACAATTAGACCAAGCTTGGCAGGGGAGTTGCAGAGACATCTGCTCGGTGTTATTCACAGACGAAGTAATAATATAGGGAATAGCGCCCTTTACGTGGATAGCCCCCCTGGATCTATTTCGAACTTGCAAGGTCAATATAAAAGAATACGATACATTCTATTCTTGTATTAAATTTACCGAACGATTGGCCGAGAGAATTTAATTTTTCTTTTCTCTTTTTTTATAGATTTGGACGAGTGTGCTTCGTCCGAACTGAACGATTGCCATTCTTCGGCAGTATGCACGAATAATTGGGGTGGGTTTACTTGCACTTGTAATCCTGGTTTGAAAGATCCTCATAAAGATGATGTTAATGAATCTGGTAGGACTTGCATTTCGTGCCCCTCGACTTATTGTAACAATCGAGGATCATGCTCTTATCAGGGTGATCACATGCAATGCACGTAAGTGAATTATTAACATACGACGAGATAAAAAGAATCTGATTCGATCTTTTCGAATTTTAATATTCTCTCTGTTAATATTTGTTAAAAAGGTGCACCGGTAATTATTACGGTGCTCAATGCGAAGTCGATGGGGAAGTTATGGGGGTGGCGATAGGAGCGTCCGTAGCTGCTTTAATTATTATAGTTTTGACGCTAGTATGTCTGGTAATGTGGAGGTAAGTATTACATCTTTTCATCAAGATATTTTTATATCCTCCATTTGGGGGTTAAGAACAATTTTTTTTTCTTTTCATCACAGTCGAAGATGGTCGCGTGAACAAAAAACGATTGGTTCCCCGGTATATGGATACATTCAGGGTGGTATACCTGGCACGCTCCCAGGAACTTTGGCAAGGGTAGGTTCTGTAGGTACTCTTGCCTCTGTGAAACAAGGACCACCGACCAATTTGCCACCCTACATGTGGGCACATTTCGGTGATCACATGGCAACTGCTAATGTATACGCTGTAAGCAACAATTTTTTTATTTATATTTAACGTTTCATCTCTGATGAAAAAGATGTATCAAAACCTCGTACGTACTTTAGACGGAACCTATGGGTCCAACACGGCCAAGTTCCGCTGTGTTCGGGTATCCACCCATCAATATTCACGGAACACTGCCACCACCAGTGCCACTGCCGAGGCTTCAAGCTCCGACAAGACCACGACAAAGACACCAACCAGATCCGGACAGCTCGGATTCTGAACCGCAGGACAAGGACAGGGCTGATCTGATCCCCCAGAATAGTGGTTTTCATGTTCCTAGACCAAAGTCTAGATCATCCCTGGCAGTGAGTATTCGCTTTTCCGATATGTCACTCTCCACGCTTGGATACTCAATGACGCTTCTATTTCAGAATCAAAGCGGAATATACAATGACGTGGAATACGACCAAGGTGATGTTCACCATTTATCGAAAAACAATATTCCGATGTCTACTTACAGGCCGTACTATCGAACGTGAGAGCCGGGAGACACCTAGTTATATTTTTTATAAAGACGTACTGTGAAAGAAGGAAGGATACAGATTGTGTCTGGATAAACGATCTAGATACATTTAGATAGATATGATTCTAATCGAAACTCTAGTTTATATGTAAGTTTGTTTAAATAATAAATGTATGTCGTTGAAGAATAGAAGGAAAGAAGAGAAAAATTAAATTAATGCACCTATGTACGTTCATACCAATGTTCGCATTTTGTTTTTAAGTTCAATATTACTTAACTCCTAGTTACTTATTTGTTATTCTATAAATATTTATTGCCCTAGTATTATCTTCGAAATAATCTAATATCTTGCAAAAGTTAAAAAAAAAAAAAAATGTATATTCAGGCTGTTTTCTAAAAATTTATAAAATAAAGGGTGCATACTGAACGATTAGTATTAAAATAAATGCCCCTTAACTATTAATTAACTTAATACTTAATTGTTAGTTATTTATATCATAGGATACAATGATAATTATCGATTGAAAGATGATGCAATTCGATATGCAGAGAATTTTTAATCTGATTATTTCCAATTGTCATCCTCTTACGATCATCATTATCTAAAACACTTATGACAAATTGTCGACATTGTCGCGTGTAACATAATTTGTTAAAATTTTTTTTAAAATTTATCAATAACTAAAAAACATTACGCGTAAAAATTATGTAAATTATACGATTTCCTTACAAAAAAACAAAAAAGTAAGGATCGAAGGGCAGTACGTATACAAAATACTCGATAACGCGTGTAACGCGTTGCGGGGTTAGTTGCGATAATTAAATATGTAACTTTTATAATTATTCATTATATATTTTTGCAAATTGAATACAATATACATTTGAGAATTCATCCGTTTGTAATCATTTCTCCCCTTTTTTTTCAATTTTCCGACGTTTAAGATACAATTTTCAACAATGTAATCACACATCAAACATACGCTGAAAATACTGTGCGCATAATGAGCAAAACGTTAAATCTTTATTATCGATAAATTGAATAAACATCAAGTATTTTGTTGAAATACAGTGAAAAGAAGAATCGATTGTGTTATCGAAAAAAGTTTATCGACAAACACTCAGAAATTACTTCTTACGTATTCAATAAAGAAAATTTCAATAGCATCGAACAAAATCGAGATGAGAAGAAAGAAGAATCAAAATTATTGGAAAATTGAACTTCGATTACCATTTGAAACTATTCAACTTTTTCGTTTCAATTGTTTCATTGTTTTAACGAGTAAAAGAAATTCTCCGTGATAATGATGAAAGATAAAAAATCTCGAGGAAGAAAAGGAGAGAGGACCTTGGAACGTGTAATGATTTTTTTCTTAGAGATAGAGATTGAAAAAGTATATTAATAAAATTTCGAAGCTGATACAAACGGAGTGTATCCATTTATTGTAACTGATTATAGATTTGAAAGACGAAGTTCAGAAATAGATTTTTTTTTTTTTCCCCTTTATAATTCTTTGTGAACATATTGTGATAGAAGGTGATTTTTTTTTCCCTTCAAAGTTGTACAATATGTACATATATCGCAGAATGACAAGTAGTAAGAGAATATGCCATTAAACGTTGATAAACTGTATAAGTCAACATTTTCAATTAAATTCTCTTTTATCAGTGTATCGAGATTGATACAATATAATTAAATATATCAATATAATAAATATGAAATATTGATAAATATATATATATATATATATATGTATATGTGAACAATATATATAATAATTATCATTGCCATAATATAATAATTTTTCTGATATATTTAGCAATATCTTCAACCATAAAGAGATTAGGTCTTTTTTTCTATTTTTTTTTCTTTTTGTTCTTTTGGTAATCGAAGATATCACATGCTAAAAAAATCGGTCCCGGGTTTTTCACATACGATACAATGCCGATTGAAGCGACTATTCAGCCTCATTAATCAGAAGTTGACATACACTGATGGATAAAATAAAGACATTATACAAAATGTTTAAACAATTTTGTCCCAATCAAATTTCATTCTTTCTTTTTTTATAGATAACAAAGTTAAAGACATATTCTATTTAATTTTTTTATACATATTATTTCAAAATTAATCTTTTATTATATAATTTTTCTCTATTTATGCATTCGAAATATTAATATTAATATTTTATCCATCAGATTCCATCACTTATTATTCAATCGCTAAATATTTCATAGTCGCAGATAAGGCTGCTTACACGTATGTATGCAATTAATATGATATACGTGAATTGAAGAAAAACACATGTCGATGATAGAGACAAAGAGATCTAGTGAAAGATTCTGGAAGGCAAAGAGTGGACGAACTCTTAAATTATCAACGCGACTGTCGGATCTTCGTCTTAAGTTTAATCGATGATCCAATAGTCTGTTTGCATTCGCTTGTCGATTAAATTTTCTACAACATCACGCCTCAGAGAGAATATTATGTAGTAAACTTACTAATTCAAAGATTTTTATATCATTGTAAAATAATGGAATTTTTTGTATGCTAATACAAGTTTTCGAAACTTGTTGAAGAAGAATTACAAGTAGTTTGATTACAAGATAGTAAGGAAATAGAAAACAATAGAACTAATTTTTTTTCTGGAAGATCAAAGTTCTCAAGTTTTCGTTGTCAAAATTTGTTACCAGTGATCTAAAGAATAAATACATTCGTTGACTCGAAAATAATTTTTCGATGTTAACAATTGGTCGCGTGTTTCGAAAATTCGAATCAGAACTCGATTTCCACTATCATTAAAATTTTATCGAGAAAATTACGTTTCAACAAGCGAACGCACGATTATTAAGAATCAATTAATACTATGTACAAGTAGACAAGTATAGTGTAGGTATTCAAAGTAGAAAGTGTAAAGTATCACAAGAATTACAATAATCGTAATAATTGCATTACATTATTTCGCAAATTTCTTGTCCTCACTATATCGATTGCACAATAATAATAAGCGCTTTAGTCGCGTCTGTGCAGTTGGACGCGCCGCTAATAGACAAAGGCGGACAAAATGATCGCATAGTACGCGATTCTGTATATAAAAATTTGACTATATCGTTTCTTTTTCACGTAAAATTATTTTTCTATGTAGAGAATTTATTAACAAATACAATTATTTCAAAATTCATTAATATTCGTATACGTAATCGCGTACTGTGTCAATATTGTGTATCCACTGTATATCGGCGAAGGGATTATTCCCCGAGTTTGGAAATTCTTCGTAAATACATCAGTCTTTGACATAATAATTATAACGATAATACCACCGATAGAGCAAAGCTGTGACAAATATTTGCGCATTATGATAAAACATATGAAGACGAGAACAGTCATATATAACCATGACTTAAACTTGGAATACGGTCGATTAATGTAGCACACAACAGAGAGGTTTCGACAAAGCTCTGTAAAAAAGACTTTTAAAAAGAGTAAAACAAATATATCAGCGTAGCCTAGAAATACAACAGATAAATAGTTATCGAGACTATTGGAAAAATGCAGCACAGCCCGATCGTTATTCACACACGATAGATTAAATCACTCGACTGTAAACTTGAATATTGATATAGATAATATGATCCTTCTTTTTTTCTTTTTCGTTTTTTTCTTTTTTTTCTTTTTTTGAATTTTTTCTACAGATAAGTACATCTAGCAAAGGGAAGACATATCCTTTCATAAATCATTTTTTATAATAATATTACTACCTATATAATGATTATAGAAGAGAAATAAAATAATTCAAAGAACAAAGAAAGGAAAGTGACGATCTGAAATATCTAATAATAAGGAAAAAAAATAAAAGAAATACGATCAAAGTGGCGAACTATAAATTGAAAAATGCGAAAAGAGAATAAATAAAAAAAGAGCTAACTTATAACAAGGAATCGAAATAGAAAAGAAAAAATCGATAAGAAACATTAAATATTTGAAATTAATCGTAATTTGGGAGATATATTTCATCACATTATAATGTCAATGCCCATAATAATAATGTAAATGTCCATAAATAATAATATCGTTATAAAAATTGATTTTCTCAAAGACTTCCCTCATAAGTTTTGATTTCCCAATATAATATACAAATATTAGAGTCGTAGCGTTCGACAGTAATAGCATTATGAAAAATTTGTAGCATGTAATCAACGGCACTTGAAGAAAGTGCTATTCCTGTGCGTTATATAAGATATATAATTAAAATCAAAGATAAGAATAAAAAGTATATGACACATTTAACATATTCGTAGTTTTATGAATCAATTATGTTCCTTGTTTGGATTAGTTTAATAAGGTATGAAGATATTCGAGATTCATAAACTTATCTTCAATATTTAATAATAATAATTTATCTTAAATAATTATTTGTTTTATATCATTTTTTCATAAAATAATATATTTAATCTGTCGAATTAATTCAGATGAATAATTCAGATTCAAAACCACAAACATATCAAAGAAAAATGTCATGAATTATATTAAAAGTTTATAACAAGATTAGGAATGTTCATAAAAACGAATTGATCGATTTTGAATTATGTGTTATCATTCATTTCAGTTCTCAGAAACTGCGATTTTGAATGATTAACAATGTTTAAGTAATATTATTATCGAATTTTAATCTTATATTTCAGCTCACAAAGATAAGTACATGCACCTAACCAATTCCCTTAGGCCATACAATTGATTTTTGACAATTGGAAATTGAAGCAAATAAACATTATCCTGACAAAACTTACTTAATAATTTACTTAAGTTGGTGTTGGTTGCGGATGAGGTGTACGAGGAGCTGTTGCGTTCGCAAGTGGCCTATGAAATCGTTCGAATAACTGATCTAAAGTTAATACAACCCCGAATCCGGTTCCCGGATCCATATTAATAAAGGAATCCAAGTTGTCCTTGCATGCTGAAATATTTGAAAAAATATAAAGAAATATATAAATTGAAAAAAAAAAGGTCTCGGTTTAAGTAGTCTACATATTTTATAAACCTATTTAATAAACGTACTTGATGTTGAAATTGGCGGATAATCCGGTGGTGTCTTGATCCACGTTCCATCCTCACGTTTCATATGATGCCGATCCGAAGCAAATTCTCGCAAGTACACATTAGCTGGGATTACTCTGAATCTTCTATGATGCTCTGGTTGCAGCACTTCATCTGATCTGAATGTTTCCATCGCGTATTTCCAAAAATGCGTTGGAAATGGCAATGCACTATCTAAATCATATACGACCGCTCTTTCATCGGGTGCATAGATAAGAATTACATGGAAGTCCTATAAGTACAAATATACAATTTTTTTTTTAGAATCATTATGATTAAAAAAATGATAAATAATGATTTTCTCGATATTAATCGTTTTTTTTCCAACTGACCCAAACTACAAGCTTATCCTCATCCTTTCCTGCTCGTTGTCGCCAAAGCGGTACGCTACGCCAGGAATTGCTCACGAAAACAACGTAACAATGTTGTAATTCTGATCCATGTCTAGTTGCTACATCCTGACAGAGCTTCCATACATTTTCTTCACTAAAATGATACAGCTTGTTCTTGCAGATGCACATATTTGAAAAATTAGATACACAAAGAAAACATATATAAATATGATGCAACACAATGTAACAGAATGAATGAAAAAAACACAATGCATAAAAAAAAGAAGATAATTGGAATTATCACTTTCAATTATAATGAATAAAAAAAAAACTCTGCACAAAAATAAAAAATTGTACAAAAGTTTAAATAAAAATTGCAAAACATAAAATGCAGATAAACAAAAATATAAATAATATATAAAAATATTTTTAAATGCAGATGATAAATTGAACTGAAATCTTAAGATTATATTCAAAAATTTTATTAACAAAAATGAGATTGTTAAATATGTAAAAGATTATTGATAAGAATGATGAAATATGTATTTGTTATGAAATAAATGTTGTAAATTCATGCAAATCAAAATACGAAAAATAGATATCATTGTCAATAGAATCTTATAAATTATCTAATATATATACATTATTAATCAGAAAAATGTATTAGATTAATCTACATAAGTTTTAATTAAAAATATAAAGAGAAATTTATCTAATCTATCAACATGAAATGAACATGGAATTGCGCGGGTCTTTTCAAAACGAAATAAATGGTATACTATGATTCGTGGATATTTTATACATATCAAAGATGGCGGCAGCACATTGCACTGCTGTCTGTACTACTGCAATGTATCGATCCATCGCGGGATATACCGCAATATGACACGTTTATTTGTTTAAATCAATATTTTTATAGAAAAATCTAGAAAATCTCGCTGAAACTCTTACCAATAACAACTTGTATAAATGCATTCTGATGCTTTCGGAAAAAGCTGTATCAACGGCTTCATATGCCCAGTTTCACGAGTCTCCCCGGCCATTCTTTGTTTACAAACTCGATCAAATTACACAATTTATAATAACAAACTAATTTAACACTGATTTGAATCGTTAAAATATATATGATTCTTGAATTAAACTATACGCGAACATCATATTAATTGATTGAAATCAATCTGATCAGTTTATGAAAATTCGAAAAACGATCTCACACGTCCGACCACACGGAACGACATTGTTTGACTACTGCTGTTGCTCTATGATTTTCCTATAGTTGACTCGTACTTGAGTCTGTAGTAGTCGCGCATGCGCCGAATCAACCAATTTAAATCAGCAATTTTAACTTTACATTTCACAATATTTATTAAAATAATGTTTTATAAATTGATATATATATTTATTTTACACATGAAATAATATTTTTAAATAGTTTGATAATTAATGCTTGTCCCTAAAATATCAATCTCGATGATTTATATTAGAATGGATGATAGAAATTTTCAGTAAATTTCTGTTTTACGTAATTTTCATATATTGTTAACAATAAATATTTGTTCATAATTTAATTACGCATAATTTATTTAAGAAATTTGATTTTATATATGTATGTTAATACTATTTCATGTATAATACTTTCATATATATTTACATTTATATTTAATCATTAAATTATGACAACAAGTTTTTATTTTAACAATTGTATAACTTTTGGTATATACAAATATGGCTGATTGATCATTTATATTTTTACATATAGTATTTATTTATATATATAACATATTTATAATAATATTTATATTGTATTTAAAATATAATCAAGTAATTTTTAAATTTGAAAATATTGCATGATAATTACTGATGATATCTTTATATACTTTATTATGTTGTTCGCACATCAAGAGGGTTCGTTGGAAATCGATTAAGTGCAATATATCTAAAGTTAGTAAAGCTAAGACTGACCATGAACTTTGAATAATACAGAATAATATCACGTGCGTAGAAATTCATCGACATTGCATCATTAACCTCACTAACTAGTTCACTTTGTGACGACTATAAAATAGTTTTATTTTCTCTTCTTATTTTCTTCTACAATTTTTATTCGAAAATGGCAGTGAATGCCGCAAAAGCTGTTCTAAAACAAGGAAAAACTGTTTTGCTAATATGCGATGTTCAAGAGAAATTCGCTAAAGCTATGTACGAATTTGGGAAAATCACTCAGAACTCAGTGAAACTGGTAATTATTAATAAATAATGCATATTGCATACGATTTAATGATAATTTAATGATAATCTGGATTTTTATTACTGTATTTGCAAAAATTATATAGGAAAAACATAAATTATATCACATAAATTATATATTATCCATAGATAAATGCATTGAAACTTTTAAATGTTCCCATAATTGTTTCTGAACAAAATCCAAAAGCTTTGGGCAAAACTATTCCTGAATTTGATATTTCTGGTGCTAAAGGACCATTTGAAAAGACTCAATTTAGCATGTGTATTCCTGAAGTATGATCATATAATCGTTTTTTATAAAAAAAAAATGTTATGTTATTTTCATGTTAAAAATAATTTTTAGATAAACAAAGAACTTTCTACAATTTGTTCTGGTCAAAAACCAGATTCAATTATTCTCATTGGAATTGAGACTCATGTGTGCATAGAAAATACAGCAATCGACTTAAGACAAAATGGATATGAAGTACATACTGTTGCAGATTGCTGTACTTCTCGTACTCAAGAAGATAGATTATTAGCATTAGAGGTAAAAATTTAGTAATAAAAAATTTAGTATATAACAAAGAAAAAAGAAATTATAAAAAAACCTAGTGATTAATCTATGTAATTTTTACAGAGAATGAAAAGAATAGGATGTCATATAGCTACTTCAGAGAATGTCATTTTTAAATTGTTGGCAGATGCAAAACACAAGGAATTTAAAAATATTCAAAGTTTGGTAAAAACACCAACACAACAAACAAATTTAGTTCCAGTTTCACAATTATAAAAATTCAACTGTGTTATATAAATCACTACAGAGATATTTTTATAATACGATAAACAAATTATACATGAAATTACTTTTATTTAAATATTAATACCCATAGGAATATTATATATTATTATTATATTATATTATATTATAATTATATAAAAAAGTAAAAAAATACATAAGAGTAATTTTTTTATTATCTCATTTTAATTTTTTCCTGTAGAACCAAATCCTCCATCTCCTCTATCTGTATTATCTAAATTATTTACTTCCTGAAGTTCAGGATATATTATTTTTTCACAAATTAATTGGGCTATACGATCTCCTGGTGAAACCTTAAAAGGTTCATTACTGTGATTAAACAGTACTACTCCTACATTTCCCCTATATAAAAAAAAAAAAAGAAATAAATAAATTAAGCAATATTTTTGATGCAAATATAATATAATCATACATCCATCCATCCTATTATAAAATATATTCTAAAATATATTTTATTCTATTGTAAAATACATAATTATTTTCAACATCTATAAATCCTTGCATTTCTTTATACGTATTTATAAATTATATTATTTATAATTTAATTTATTTAAACTCACTTACCGATAATCAGCATCAATAACGCCAGCGCCTACATCAATATGATATTTCCATGCCAATCCTGAACGCGGTGCTATTCTCCCATACGTATTTTCAGGAACTTCAATTTGTAAATCAGTTTTGATAAGTTCTTTACCATTTGGAGGCACAATATATTCATAAGCACTGTTAAAAAAAGAAAATAATACATACACGTGAAACTTTGCAATTTTATCTAACCTAGATATTTCAAAAACATACCTTCTTAAATCATATCCAGCAGCATATTTCGATCCTTTTGTTGGTACAAATGCTTTTTCAGTTAATTTTGCGAATTTCAATACTGTCATGATTAAATTAAGTGAATTTTTTTGATTGATTAGAACAAAATTAATAAATAACCGTTAATAGATACGTTTTTTATATCTATATGGGATATTTTACCGCGCATTTAAACGATACTACGTTATTCAACTACATAACGATTTTGGATATTTTTTAAATAAATATTTTAATGTTACAGTATTTTTTATATTTTTATAATTTAAATAAAATTAATAAATATATTAAAATCTCTTTAAAAAAAGAATAATAAAGAGAAACATGTATATGTATTTATATTATTATACTATAAATTTTCTTAACCTTAAAAATAGTGTCAGATGGCGTTAATGTAATATTATTTCAATAAATAGATATTCAGCTTTAAAAGAATATAATCGGCAAAATATAATCAAATGTGATTTTTTCAAATAAATTTGTTCAAATATATATCTATACTTACATAATGACATCTATCTAATAATTAATATATACGTAATATTGGATTCTCAACAATAATGCAACACATGATTATACTTTTGGTTTACAAAAAACGCAAAAAGTCTGCTTATCATGTTTTAATTTACATAACAAGGTTATTTATTCGAAGTTAATTAATATTTCGTGGCTTTTTGGTTAACACGTTGGAAGTAGCCACGTTGGCTTGATATATATATGGTTACTTATAAGATAAGAGTCTTCTTGACCAATCATCGGTCGTATGTTCGATCATCGCTTATCTTCCCGCCAAACACGAGTGATCTTTTCAGTAAAACGATCATCTGTTCTGAGAGCATCAGTAATTTTCTTAAGATTTTTTTAATTCTTATATCTTAAAAATTATTATAATAATTATAATTATATTATAATTTAATTCTCTGTGTTCTTAGATTATTATAATTCTTCGATCAAGTGAAAAATTTTTGCAGGTATGAATTGTTAAGCATTCCGAGTAATTTATTTAATAATTTCTTTTCTCATTATAAAGAGTGTGTTAATAGATTTCAAAATGGATATTCTTTATTTCCAAATAAAGTTTTTTGAATGGAATGAAATCCATGAAATCAGTCTGTTGCTGTGCAAAAATATCGTTATCTAATCTTTAAAAGCAATATGCATTTTTTAAGATGATCATATTTAAAAATCTATTAATATAATCGAATAATATTTCTAAATAGGATGTGGATGATATTTGCAAGTGGCTTTTTAGCTATTGCATTAACAAATGCGGATAATGAAGCACATAAGGCTTTCGATGCAACAAATGCGATTCCTCCAGATGTGATTCCTGACTTCGATGGAAAGATTCCAACGGCAAAAAAACTTCTTGAAATGCTTGATTCGATGAGTGGATTATCAGATGAAGAAAAATCGAGTCTTAGAAAGAATCTATTAAAAAATCTTCAAGATCATGTTCCTGAGATGATGCCTGGCAATGATTTGACTATGCAAACTATAATTCTTTTATCCTTATTGGGCATTGTTGCTCTCATCTTTGGTAAATATTTTGATCTGAGTTTTTTTAATTCAATTAAAATTATTTTAGCAATTTAATTTTATTAATTAACAAAGTTATGAATTTCTTTTTAAAGTATTGATCACGATATACATTGATATTAGGATTGTATATACTATTTTGTTTTTTTTGAATAATTTCAAAAGGCTGATTCAGTAAACATTTTTGTTTTCTCAACTAAATTGCATAATAAAAACGATTATATTACAATTCGTTTTTACATTTCTACATCATGTATGAACAATTTAACGTGTTACACATTATCTAATCGACCACTTCAATATTGCAAGTGGTCCGATGAATTTTATTTAATCAATTCAGTCTTTTTGTGCTAACGAGATTATCGATTTTACTTGTTGATTAAATTCTCGTTAAAAGAAAGTTCTGTATTATTGTTATGTAATTATTTCTTAGTGCTTTATGCGAACAGTGTTTAAAATATGGCACAAAATATTTTGGATTCGTTGCGAGATAAAGGCGTTTTGTCTTCTAGTGCGCAAGAAAAATTATTAAATTTAATACCAGATAACACTAAAGAAAAATTGTCCAATATCTTTCAGCGATATCAAGAATTAAATGATGAAGAAAAACAGCAATTTGTGCACGAAATAGTCGGAAAGTTTAAACAAGTTTTAGAAGATAAAGTGAATAATTATTCCAATTTGTATACATATTTGTTTCATTCATATTTAATTTTCATTTTTGCTGTATTATTTGTAGTTTTCATTCTTGGTATGTTATTTTTATAACATTATTTTATTATATGTTAGTTTTAACATTTAAAATGAATCATATATATCAGATTATTATTTTGGATAAGAATCATTTTCTTCTATTTTATAACTTGATACTTATATTTTTCATTTATATTTTTATGATTATAGTTTTCTTCGTTTACAAATTGTTCAAATGCTTATCGGACAGACAAACAAAACGAGAAGAAAAGAAGAAGAATAAACAAATGAAGAAGAAAAAGTAATGCAACTGATACAAAAATAAGAATATGCAATATGTTATAAATCAATATGATATATTATGTTGTTACGCGAATAATCTTGTTGTATTTTATGTGAAAAATAATTTATAATTTACAAAATACTCTATTTTGTTAAATAAAATAGTATATTTATAAATTATAAAAGAGAGATCATTTATTGGGAGGGAGGGGGAGGGGGGGACAATATATTTTGGCAAAAGGATATTTATTGTGCCATTTTATGACATACATAATATATAACATGCAATCAAATCAACACATTCTTCTGTATGTCACGATGGACGTTGAAGTTTCTATTCTTTTAATATCATTTTATATAATATCTAAATTAAGATGTACAAAGATATTTTTTCTTAACACATGTACAATCCTAACGATTGTTACACAATTCGTTTGATTGATATAAACAATATGCATTTTACGTCACATTAAGGATTGAGTGCTATTAGTTCAATTCACATATGTGATTAGACATAAATTATAGAAAAAGATATTAGTCAGTATTAGCGATAATATTATACCGTAAACATCGATATAATTTCAATAATTTGTATATATTTACTCATAATTCATTCTTTGCAAAACTTCTATTTTATGATTTAACATTTGCTAGTAAATTATAATACTTGGTATGTTGTCCATGATTTATAATATTTAAAAAAAATTATTTTTCTCTAGTTTGTACTGAAATAGAATTCTCTAAAATAAAGTAATTATCATTACTCTTGTCAAATCCTTATTAAATAAATTTTAACACTTTGTTATGAACAAAAAAAAAAATAAGGCACTTATATTTTCTCTAAGGACGTACTTTGAAGAATAAAAACTTTAATTGATACTTTCTATTCTTTACTTTGGCAAAGTGGCGTCTTTTAGAAGTGACTTTACACTCTTTTAAGACTTAAGAAGTTATTTAATGTTGTGATAATTCGTGATAATAAAAAAATATTACATTTTATGTAAAATAAGGATTATATTCATCAACGGTATAATTCATTAACGTTCTAGTTTTGTAAACTCAAAACAAAACATTTGATTTATACCAATGAATAATTATAACAGTAATATTTGCTTACTAGATTTATAATTTTTGTGGCACAAGGATTGAGTAAATTGCGGTAATCATCATATATATTCTCTAAAATAAACAGTTTACTTAAAATCTAATAAAAAAAATTAACTGAATTCATATATTATCTTTATAGTAATTGAAATTTTCATATAAAATAATATATGATATTATTTGACACACACACATATATATATATATATATATACACATATATGTATATATACACATATATATGTATATATATTTATAATGCTGAAAATAACATGTTCATTTAGAAATATCAATTTTCCTGAAAATAACTATATTGGAATCTTTTAATGAGTATTGCATATAAAATATGGGTAGATTTCCTCGTCTTTTTATTAATAAGGCCTATTCTTCGATATTTCTTCGATATTCCTTTTACCTGATTGTATAAAATAATTATCTCAAATTAATTAAAAACTACATAATTTACGAACTATTATGAATAAATAATTCAGAAATATTTTCTGATAATATCGTTGTAATTTAAAAAAAAAAATCGACAAATTTTTAATTACGCAATAAGTTGTTTTTATCTTACTACGTAACAAATTCTTTATCGAATCACAGATTCGTTTGGCAAATTTGAGATATATGGAAGATCTACTACATAATTTTGCAATTAATTTATCAGTAGTTGTATCTTTTAGGAACGCGACGAAGGTTTCAGAAGCAATTTGTAGCGTTCGCTCGCATTATCTATAACAGAATAAAAATTATTTATTAAAATTATTGATTAATAAAATGAAATAATAAAAATTTTAATGCAATTTTCTATTTTTTACATTACCTTTGATAGTTTCAACGAAATACATGCTTTCGTCTTTCATGTTTGCTACCAATTCATCGGTAACTAACACATGGATACCCTGAGGACCAAGAAAGAGAACAGAATGGAGTCGATCATGAGATAAACTTAAGGTGTTCAGTAACTTATTTATCAAGGCACTACTGGTCAGACTGTCCAAGTAGGCGACTCTCCAAAGTGAACTGTTGTCTTCCAGCGAAAAATAGAGGGTAAGTTTTGGGGTTGGCGCCTTTGAATGCAGCGCGTTGAACAATCGGATCCCATCGGCCAGACCACAGATTTGAATTAAATCATCCCTAGAGAGTCGTAAAATATCCGAAGCAGAGAAGCTTGCGAATGTGGATTCAAATGCGTTGAAGCGACTAGCACGAAGCCACGTCGTTGTCTGTGCTGCACTTGCATCAGGTGACAATTGAACCAAACATGATGATCTCTGTATAAATGTACAAATTATATTTTTATGAATTTTAATTTTAACGTTTAAATTGTAATTTAATTTTGTAATTTAAATTGTAATTTTTTTGTAAACACTAACTTCAGTTTCGATACAAGATTGATCTGGTAAAATTGCCGCAGGCGATGGTAAAGCAGGTGCTGTTCCCACATTTTCCTTCACAGCATCAGAAGCAGGAACTAATGGTACGATACCTGGATTAGAAACTGAAAGTGCCAAAGGTGCTACTACTGGTGAAGTATTGCCACTTATAGTAGAGCGACTTTGAGGAGATCTGTAAAAATAATAGAATTCTTTTTAATATAATTGAATACTTGTTTTTTAATTTTTTATCTCTATTTTAATTAGTATAGATTCAAGATGTGTATACGCCATTAAATACCCCAGTACTTTTATATTCATCAACGCAATTCATCAAAGTATAAAAGATTGCGGTCCATGTAGAATATGAATTAACGACATTAAGCACAATAAAAGCAAACACGGTAATAATTGACACTGCAACCTATCGCTATTCTACGAATATTAAGTCATTAGGTTCTGTCAATGTTCAAGGAACTAGAACCATTATTCATAATAAGAGTTCCTTTTTTTCAAACATGCGAAAGCATAAATAATGTAATTGTTGACCTTAAAATTATCTAATTTATTACAAAGTTACATAAGCATGTAAGAATGAGATCTAGAAAAGCACGCGAACTAATTTCTTTGCTTATTTTTTTTGTACTCTACATTCTTTTTATTATCTTACATGGCGCGTCTTTTCAAGCGAAAAATCAGCTTGGAAATCCCTTTCCCATCGATCCTTTTGTTATTCCTGCCTTTTCTTATCGTGAGACTGATTAGTCCTCCGCGCATGAGATTACCTCTTCTCGCTCTGGATTCCGAAATAGAATGAATAAACTTAGCCACAACTTCCACTTGTAAGGGGCCTCCGCTGATCGTTACTTGATGTTCCAGAAGATAAGTCGAGACATTTCCACGAAATTTGGCCGTTGATTTGATGGCCCAGCAACTTTTCAACTTCCAACTAGAACAATTCTTTGTCATCTCGATAAATCGTATTCTAGATTCTATTATTTGTTTTCAAAACAAAATTTCAAGTATGGATTTTTATAAAAAGATTCGTGATTTCTTGGAACAGTTTCTTTCGACTTTTCATTCGTTCCTTCATGAATATGTGCAATCTGAACACAGGAATTCTGGAATAATTTTTTATTTTTTCTTCGCCCATTCGTGTAAATTTTAATGTTGATTGATCCTTTTTCACCAGTTCAACTTCAAAGAATGTTCATCCAATGAAGAAGAATCGAGAGTACATTTTACTCTCATTCGATTTTATTTTCTCAAAAACAGTATAGTTATATTAATTTCTCAATTATCATTAATATATCCAAAGTATAAACAATTGTAAATTTCATTCGCAACTGAGATTCAATTAATCGTTTGAAAGTCTTGATTCAAGAAGACTAACGTTGGATACAATCGTTACGAATCAGATTACCCATTGGTACGCGAGTCTGCTCCGAACCGGATATCTCTAGTTTCGTCTTCGTTCATAATCGCGTTAAATTTGCAAAAAAAAAAAAAATTTATCCTTTTGATAATGAAAAAATAGGCTGTACTTTTTTCATAAATTCTTTTTAATTTCCCGAGACTAACTTTTTGCGATTTTTATTATCTTCACTTTTGTTTTGTGGCTTAATTAACAAGCAATATCAAGAATTATCATTAACTATAGTAGTAGCCATTTGTATTTGAAATCCACTTCTCGTTACGTGACAAACAACTTTTTGAAGACTCGTTTCGTTTACCAGCCAATCGGCAAATCGTTCAAGTGCATCATCAAGTGGTTCTCGTTTCTTCAAGTGTTTCCATAGTTTTGTAACCAATTAAAAATTAAAAAGGTATCCGGAAACGCGCGATTTCTTTTCCCGCAACGAAAGGATTCGGATCGTTATCAAGTCAAACGATAGTAAAAATTCTTGTTCTCGTAAATTTCTTTCCTCGATAGCATTACGCGATCGAACAAAATCAACGAAGTTTTTCGTTCATTGATTTTTCTGAACGGTCACTTCGAATGTTTCCACAGCGATTGTGGAATACCCAACATTTAATTCAATATTTTATCGAATCCTTGACGAATAATTTTTATCAAAGACACAAAATCGCGCGTTTTGTTTACGCGGGTCGAAAAGGAAGTTTCACATAGAAACGTATTTCAGTTCAAGGCCGAATAGAACCGCCTTGGCATCAGCTTTTCGGCGGCCAGGCTGCTCGTCATCTAAGGAAGTGATCCTGGCGTGACAGGAGCACATGACTGGCCAGGATCTCACGCACAAGCACGTTTTGATCGTCAACGCGTAATAATTCGAGATCAAAAATACTCGACACGCATGACGATTCTGAATGATTAGCTGGAAATCGAAATTCTACACCGGACGAGGGCATTCCAACGGCGTGTAACGGCTTCACTCTCGATTCGATGTTCAATCGATAAACTTTCCTCAATCTCGAGAGTTTTTTACTCGTTTTTACGAATTACACAGAAAGGTAGTCAAATCACAATATGCAACACATGCGAGGCACGATTTCCTTTCTAGGAAAAAATTATTATTGTTGCGATTTCTCGAACATTACACGTTTAAATTTGTACTGTTTTCTTTTTTTATCTTATCCTTCGATATTTTCTTTGTTTTGTATGCGTTCGTATGCAAAATCGATATCTCGTTTCACGATCGATCCTTGGTGCTAGAGAAAAAATGGCGCTGTTCCAGGATTCACGTACGATTTATTTTTAAATTCACGGTCGATCACAATAATCTGTATCTTGTATCCTGATGCTTTATTTGTCGATGTGTGCCGGAACAAAGAGAAATCGAAAGTTTCAACACTTCGTGGATTATTTCACAAGATAAAAATCGTATTTATCTCGTACATCGTGTATTCGACTCTCGAGAATTATCGACACTGAACTGACTGAGTTCACAAGATTTAATTCTCTTCGAACGATGAATATGTTTCGTTGCCAAGTCCCCTCGGTTACCTTTATCACGTCCACTTTTTTAACTAATGACAGTAATGGCTCGAGGTCGCGAAAATAAGCGATAACGAGTGCGTATCGATTACTCGCGAAAATATCGCGACCAGCGATCGCCTCACAGTAGAACAAGTCAGCGAAAACACGGACGAATGTAAAGAATTACACAAAAAGATAGTCACTGATCACTGATTATCACGTTTTATTTATAAACATGCACTCTCAGCGGTAGATCATGTCTGCGGTTCTCACTGATTACCGTTTTTTCACTGATTATCATTGACTACTTCTGATTCACCAATAACGTTTTCTGTTTCGAAGTAATTATAACAAATATAAAAAATAGTAGAAATCGATGAACAAATTGAGAATTTAAAATTCCCGAATGTCGTGAAAAGTTGAACGATTTCAACGAAAAAAACTGATGGGTAAACGTAGAACTGAAACGGCTGCGCAGTGGTGCGTGTATCGTGCAACGTTCTGAATTTATTTGTCGTCGAGGTTGTCTCTCTCTTTTACTCAGAGCATCGTTGTCGGCTCTACCAGTTGCCGGCTTGTGCCAGTTCGAGCCAGTTTCACAACTCCCGTACCGGCACCTCCTCTTCCACCACTTTATCCCAAGCCTCGTATCGTCTATTGCCATTGCTTTCTGCCACCACTTTACGAACTACTTCTACCATTCTTACATCTCTGCGATTCATCCGCGATCCCCCACCATTAATTTTGCGGTTGTTCAAAGCGAAACGGCAACATAGCCATGCATTGCAAAGAAGAGAACATGCACTATGTATATTTTTCTTCTCGAAAGATTTCCTCTCTTGATATGTTTTTTTTTACTATTTTTTCCATCAAATTATATATTTTGTGAATTTTTTTATTTTTCTTTGATCCTATTGTTTGATCTGAATATCAAGAAATATTACGAATCTTCTTTCTGCATATTTTAATCATAAATATGAGACGATTTTTGTCTCATGTTTACCACGAATTATGTTATTAACGTATTAATATTACTATGTTAAAATTTACGTTTACATAGAATTATCGAAAGATACTAGATTTTTTGAATGCATGAATTTTATGTTTTGTGAAATATATATTTGCACGGAGATCAACCAATATATATATAGATTGTTATTTAACCAAACGGAAACTTGTAATATCCGGAATAGGCCAGATAATTTACATGACAACACAAAAGTTACTATATCATCTGACACAATCGATTATTAACAATATTTTATGGAATCATAAAATAATAAATATAAAAACTTAAAGAATGAATGTTGTAAATTAAAAAGAAAAAATCAATGATATAATTTACTATATTGATTATTTCTTGTTTAAAATATAATTTTTAATTGACGTGATTTTATTATATATATAGGGAAGAATTAAAATAAAAAATATTTTGATATCAATACAGATATGCAATGATAAGATATTGCAAATGAAACACAATTAAAGATATCGTATATTGTGGTTTGAATTCGGTACCGCATATTAATAATATTTATATTTAGAATTATAGTCATATAAATGTATCATAAAATAAATAAAAATGGAAATAATATTCATATTTGTACTTACATTGCCTCCGTTGAAGCATAGGGACTTCCACCACTTTGCGTGATTAAATTGGATGATGATAACGAGTCTAGGGGAATCTGTAATCAAACATAGAATCCAATCTGATTAGTTTGCTCTGAAAAAAAATGTCAAATGTCGATCACTTACGTCGGAAAGAACTGTGCAGTCGTAACTTGGCTGATACTTGTCTTGCTCGTGTGGTGGTCGTCGCAATATTTTGTCACGATCTTGCTTATGCTTGCGATCAGCTCCTTTCAATTTGAAAACTTTTACCTGACAAGAAGCAGCGTGCAAACGAGGACCTCCTGGCAGTCGCGTTTCCACTTGTATTCGAAACGGCACACCTTTTTCCCCACCATGTTTCTTGGGCGTAAATTCAGTGCTAATACAATTCACCTAAGGCAAAAATATCAAATATCATCTTAGTTTCAACTTTATTAATCGAACTTATTATTCTGATATATGATATTGAAGAAAAATAATAAATTTGATCCAATCGAATCACTTTTTTTGATTCTTCTTTAACATTTGGTCAAGTTAAAGAATAACATTTCAGAAAAAAATATAGCTTTGGAAGGAAATGAGTATTTATTTCTTACTTTTTATTTCTAATGCGCATCTACCTTTATGTATACCCCAACTTCCTTGGTAGGATCCCACATAAATTCCACACTATTATTTGATGGAGATGGTTGACAAACATCCACCATCCCATAACTAAGAGGAACATCGACCTCGAGTAATCTTTCACCAGGTCTTGCGCGTTGCCATGCGAGCATCTGTTCCCTTTCAGTATACTGAAGTCTCCTCTCATGAAAACAAATGCGTATTGTCGACTGAAACAAAAATGTTGGATGTCCCTTCAGAGACGTTGTAGCACCGTTTGGGAGACTCACATCTTTTGAACGTCGAGGATTTAATGAGTTCATACCGAACTTGTTATTTTGTAAAAAATAATGAAATGTAATTAAGAATTCAATGTTATTATATAAATGCAATGTATAATCAGCATGAACTCTTCTGATTCCATTTAAATTAATACGTTTTTTAAGATGTTGCTACCCAAACATAGACAATCTCTTGTTCTATTCTGGGAAACGAATAATAGTTGATCAAGTACCTTCAAAATTTTCCCACGATAAGCAGATAAATCACCTAATTTCTTCAATTTAATCTCGTACGATTGTCCTTGATTCAAGTAAGTGAGCGTCTCTTCGTTAACTTTTGTTGCAATACTAGTAGCAGCAGCAAGCACATATTGGAAACTAAAAAGAATATTATTCTTCTATATATTCTTTGATATAATTGAATATTCATAATTTAATATAACATTATCGAATAACATTATACCGGCAATCCTCGTTGAGCTCGCTTCCCTGTTGAGAGGAAGAAACGTGATTTCCTGAGGATGATGTTGGAGGATATTCTTCGCTTGAGGGATAAAGCAACTGATGAAGACTAGCTGTTGTCTGCCCATTATTATTACTATCAGCTTCAACAGAGTTGTTCACATTGTTCGTTGGTGCCGAATTAATTGTTCTCTGTGATACATGGTTTAAACTGAAGCAAACATTGAATGAGAAATAACATCAATTAATTATATGCATTCCTGTAAAGTTTGATACGTTTACACGAAGGGATAAGAATGTTTACATTTATTACGTGCTAATAATATTGTGCTTCTTCGAACAAGTTTAAACGCATTCGTGATTAATTTCATATAAACTGCACTCACTATAAATTAAAGAATATCGAGGGCGAAAAGATTAAATCCGAGGGAGTTTTCATTGCTGTTGAAACTAGTTTCAGGAGGATACCAATTGCATCGCACAAAATAAAATTACACTTAATTCGCGGTTATCACGAATAGTTTTCACTGATTCGTCAGAATACTTGACTTTATTATATGTTGTGTGGGTTTCGTGAAACGCAGTGTTCCTAATTAGGAGCAATTTCTACACAGACAATTCATTATTCGCGCAGTTGAAATAATATGCTCTTAAGATTTTCATTTTTTCCATACAAACATCACGGTTTCTTTTCTTTTTAAAAAGTTAACTTGCTCAAATAATTCTTGGAATTTACCACAGTTTGTGTATAATTTTCAAATTAAAACATATTCGCAATAGTGCAAATGATCACGTTCGGAAGAATCACGTTTTTCGCACGACCGATCAGTCACAAGCAACTGACATTTAATACTGACAGATACCGCGAGATAACTTGCGAGGAACCTCGTAAGAGTAAAGGTCTGACCTGCGTGCCATTTGCCTGATAGTTGTGCGAAAAAACAGGATGATAATCTTGTGTCTCTGCGGGGGAGTCTCGTGGCAAATTCCGCTGTTGGTTTTTTTCTTCTTTTAAGATTTTTCTTCCATCGTTTCCACGATTGTTGATTGCTCATGACTGATATTAATTGCAATTGATATTTCATGACTTATGACAGGTGTAAGCAAAAATAGAAAAAGCGAGAAATACTTGTCGCAACAGATGCAATTAATGAAACGAACATGTTCGCATGCTCACATAAGTGATGTCTCTAATATGCACCGTTCTTAAAGAACTTACTTGGAATTTTGCTGATTTTCTGGTGATGGGGCCTCTTGCTTAAATACCGTCAATGATGGTAATGCAAGCAAGGCTTCGCTGTGAACAAATTTCGAATAATTATGCATATGCATTTCTTTTCATGTTCTGTTTGTTTTCAAGATATAAAGTATAATTTTCAAGGCAAACAAATGGGAAAGTAATTAGATAATTTTTATGGAAACAAGATTTTTCTGCGATTATTTAATAATTTTTTATGTAATTGCACTCTCATTTATTACGATCAATAAAATGACATTAAAATTTAAGTGGAATGAATGTTTATCCGATAATAACTGATAGATTCCGGTTTTCGCTATCAACTTTTATTGATTAGAATCTCATGATAGAAGTGAATAAGATATAAAATATAAAAATAAAGAATTATAAAGAATTATAAATTATGCAACATAATTTAATTTTTAAAAAATTTCAACAATTATCATGGATCTATTTATAAAATCATAAAAAAGACTGATATTTATATATTTATATGTTTCAGACAATTTATTTAAAGATAAAAAGTTTACTGCAAGACAAAATCCAGCGCAAACTAGAAAAAAATTATTGCGGCTTACATAAACTACATTTTATGGAAGCTGAAAAAAATCTTAGATACTCTCATTTTTATACAATCAGTTTTTTCTTGTTTTTCTTGTTTTATGATCTTCTAATTGTGCTAGTTTAGAAATTAAGAACAAGAATAATTTAATTTTGTCGAGCAATCATATAATGATGATACTGTTAAAATAGTCGTAATAACAATAATTGATTTTATGATATGTAATTTAATTGTTAAGACGGAATAAAGAATGAAAGAATAGTTTGAGAACCGCTATGATAAGAATTAAGTCACTAAGGTCAATGAAAACCGGAACATACCAGTTTGAATGCAATGAAATTAATATTAATAAATCTACTAATAAAATATCAGGATATTATTAAAAATAGAGTACAAATTAGTCAAAAATTTAGGATGTTACTATATAAAATTGAAAATAAAAATTTGACTCTATATTTTAACTTTATTTAATCATAAATCATACTGCAAACAAGAATATTTTTTTGTCATATTAAAAAATTAACAAATTAAGAAAAGAAAAAATTTAGCATGAAGAAAACTTTTATGTCATTTTATTCACTCACCTACTTTTTAAATATTGATGCATGATTCTGATACTCGAAATTCAAGCTTGAATTTTTCTCTTTGTAAACATTTAACAATTTCACAAATACTATAATCAATTTGTTTAATTACACTTATCGATTTTCATACATTTTATTATGTTTGAATGAAAATTTCTAACATTTTCTAACACAGGTTTTATATAAATTACATCCACTATTTTAATATCCCATATTATTTAGTATCACGTGATTTATGTACGCTGTAAATAATGAAACTATTCACTGGCATTAAATTTAAATAAGCCAAAAATAATCAATTCCGTACTCGTGAAAAGTTCTTGGGATTGATTTTATTTAGATTCACATTAAGAGATAACAATTTTTCAGTCATGAATTTTAAAAAATTATCACTATGTTATAGCGATGATGATATGAGTATCACGTGTAATCCTATCAGCTGATTCTTGGCGGTGGTTGTGCTGCTTCTCCACTAACGCTTACAAATGCGAGCAATGTTATCTAACATTGAAAAGTTTCAAATGATTATTTCCTGTTATTTTATTCCAACGATGAGAACCGGAAATTCGAATACGCACAAAGTATCTTACTTCGATTTATCCTCTTTTAGAAGTCTCTTATTAAGAATTTAAATAAACATATGATCTGTTAATTTATTATCGAAGACATTAACAAGATTAAATTAAAAAATAGATAAATCGATAAGTGATAGTTAAACACATATGAAGAAAATCTTTTTTAAATGACGATTTGTTTCGAAACATATTTCTAAATATTTTATGAAAAACGAAAATATAGATGATTTATACAGGTGCAAATCAAATAAGATAGCAAAACCAAGAACAATTTCGCTTAATGTAAGGCTCTGGCGAATTCTAAAACCGTATGTAAAAATTGGTAAAAATGAATACAATTGAGTCCAGGATGGAAACGCACATGTCTGTACGCGCAGAGACTCGGTAAGCGTCTAAACGTCTGTAACCGGCGTGATTTCCCAGCGTATTCTGTTCAAGCCACAAAATACCGACAACTGTGTCTGGTTTTAACCGGATTTCTGACTCGACATACTCCTTTCCCACTACTGTCTACGTTTTAATCGAGATTCGATCCACTTCTGTACAGGGATCTTTAGAAACCTACTTTATCGGCTAGTCTTATGATCGAATAAATCCTTCGTGATCGACCATCGGTTGAGCTTTAATAAAAATTCAACTATTTCTTGCTTTTTTTTTTAACTAGAAAAAAATAATATTCTTGTCCACTTTCTTGGATAATTATAAAAATTTCCGAATCCTGCACTATCGCAGAATGTTATTAATTAATGTTATTAATTAAATTAATTAAGGCACGACTTTATCCTATTTCTTTCCTTTGTTTGCCTTCGATATTTGAATTTACTTTTTTCATCATAACTTTTCCAAGAAATGTCTGATGTCTGATGTCTGATGTCCATCTTCTTTGATGGAGAAAATATTTATATTTACCTCATATTATAGGAGGCGACTGCTGTTGCAAGATCGGATGCTGCAAGTGCTGAGAGCGATCCATCGAAGTCGGCGGCAAGATGTTCGGCCAGCTCCTCCACTTGGGTTGACCATCCTTGTCCAGAACCATTGCTTCCGACAGATCCTGAAAATATGAAAGAATTAAAATCATTCCAACGATTATTTCATTGTTAAAAAAAAAAAACAATCTTATCCTTTGCTATTGATAGATCAAAGATCAAAGATCAAAGATCAAAGATGATATCTTCACTGTGATATCTTTAATTTTACAACCTTGTACATTAGCATAATTGATATAAAACTGATGGTGCATAGCGCCAATCCTGGATTTGGTATCCTGGAGGGCCATAACTGCGTTTCGTCTTCTATTCTTGGAAGTTATAGCAGGATATCGTCTAGTGTGTAATAATGGTAACCTGGCGCTGTCTACTTCACACCACTTCATTCTATATCTCTGCGAGGGGATAAACGAAGCTAGCACACTTGTAAGAATACCACCGAAATAAAAACGATGCGCGTATACCTTCGCGTAGTTTCTCTCGGATGGAGAACTAGTATTAACTTCTTCTCTCTCTTTCCTCGGGTGGACTTAATCTGCGATACACTGTGTACTCTGGAGTTATCAGTTTCTCTAACCACGTGGTCAAAAAGGCGTCGAATAAACGCATCACGGTACTTTTAGCGAATCAGTCGTGAAACGTTCTTCGAACAAGCATCTGCTGTACGAATTTCGACATTTTGGAGCAAGATTAAGATGTTTCGAATCAAATTAGAATGTATGTACAACGTAACGCTGATACCTTGAAAGTTTTTGATAACGGAATCTTACTTCATGGAACGTTCATGTCGAACGATTTGTGCATGGTAAATGGAATTTTTGTGAATCAGATAATCAGTGTTCTTCAAGTATATAGAAATTAAAATTGTATTTGGTATAATTTTAAAAATCCAATGGCTGTTGTAGAAATTAAATGGAACTTAGAATTGTGAGTGCCTACGACTGTGTATCTGAGGTCCTCGTCACGACCTTTTGAATGATATGTCTATAATGAGAGCTGCATGATAGCAACAACAGTGATGTAGTCAGAATCAAATATTCGCTAAAAGACAAAAGCAAAAGAAAATGGGAAATTTATAAAGAAATATAATATATCTATATTCTATATTCATTTTTAAGGGATGAGAACGCGGATAAATTAATCCGTCTTACCTTTTTCTAAATAATTTTCTCAACAATCAGTTTTAGTTGATCATCCAGTGAACTCTAATAATAATTTCTAAATGCTAATCAATAAAATTCATAATTGTAATAGATAATTTTTATAATTTTCAAATATTTTTAATCATACTAACCATCTCTCTTAGCATGCTTCTTCTCGAGTTCTGTAATTTGAGACAACGGCTCTCCGGCTCGACGTTTCAAGGTGCTCTGCTGTTGGCAATTGGGGGAATTGTCGGAAGACGGGCTGAGATGTTGGGGCGATTCGCTGCTCGAACGTATTTGGACACCGTCCTCTGGGGAATCCTTTGGCGAGCTGTATTTATCCTGCCATAAAGAATTTTGTGCACTGTGATATCCCATTGACGCCTAAAACGTTTGATCATCGTCAGTTCACGGGATGAAACGCGCGGAGCTTCACGTATTTCGTTTTAAGGACCAAGGCGGTAACGCATCAAAATGAATCGATCCTTCGCTTCTGTGAGAACGTTCAAAGCGCGAAAAGAAAGAAGAAAAATTGGCCGATATCGTTATCGTGATGCTGGAAACATGCTGGATTCTTTCCCTCGTGAAATGAATGAAAATTGGCGAGCAAACGTGAAGCGTCGCGTTCAACGCGTTACCAACGAGATGATATCGCCATTTCAAGGAAAGAACATTAGAAAACTTACGTGCTGAGTGGCGATGGGATCACATCTGTTCTGACGAACTGGGGACAGCTGTTCGTAAGGAGGTGACGGTGTATTGGGAAACCATATCGTTCCATTCAAAGCATCTGCACCGCCGTCCATGATGAATTGGAGCTCCATTCAACGACTTCAAATCTCGAAGCACTCGTGTTAGGCTTTTACTTTTCAGGCTACACTATTACCTTTCCGAATACCAATTGTTTTGATCCTAATCACGATTATTATTCGCTCTTACCAAGTTCGAGTGCTCAAAGATTCTTCGGAGAACGCTTTGGTGGCCTATTTGGAAGAGAAGGCTATAAGTCCAATCTAGTTAGAACATCCACGATGAAATTTTTAGCATCAACTTAGGGACTTAGGGACTTCTCCTTTCTAAACATACATTCTGCAGGTGGATAATTTTCCCAGTCCTTTTCCCTTTTTCTATTTTTTCTTTTCGCCGCTTCTTTGTTTTCCTCGCTCAGCTCCTTCCTTTTCTTTCGTCTATTAACCAAAACGTCCTCCTTTTTTTGTGCGTTCTCCGCGTATTTTTCTTCGGGATCGACAATGATCTCGGAAGTGCACGGTGCATCACTCGACCACCGTTAGTAAAGGGCCGAACTTCCTTAAGGAAGAGTTATCCTTAGAACATTACGAAGAAGCTATTGTACAATTTCTTGATGCCAGTTGTTTCGCGTTGCCGATGCGTTTCTAGGAGTGCGCAACCCCGTGACTTAAGGGAAAGAAACCGCGAAAAGACGACGAACGCGTCCTCGAATACCATCGCCACACCTTGGCTGCAACGCATTTTGTTACTATTTTTTTTTTTTTTTCTTGAAAATCTACGAGTTTCGCGAAAGAACAGTTATTTGTTACTTTCTCTCTCTCTCTCTCCCTCTCTCTCTCTCTCACTCTTTCTCTCTTCTTCCTGTCGTATTATTCTCGAATAAAATGTTCGATGGAATGGAAGTTCGACCGAAACTTTGTCACTTGTTAGTAAGATGAAACTTAGATCAGGATTTGAATTTCTAGAAATTCTATTTCGTTTTATTATTCTCGATAAAAATTCGTTTCTTTTTTTTTTTTTTTTATATATATATATATATTATACGTTAAAAACGATTTCGTCGCTCTTAACTTGGGGTGTCACTGGACACGTAAAAATATATTTCGATTTTCTTTCTAACGACTATGGCTCACACCACTTGATAGTGTCTCGATAATCGAAGGCCTTCGCCTATCACGTCGTCACCACATTTTCAGGATCCTTCGTTCCATGATGCCGACGGAAAGATAAACCTGATCCAGAAGGGGAAAAACGAGGCTTCGTGGCGTAAAACCAAATGGGATTTCGTTTCGTTCCTCGATGTTCCTCAAACTTCTTTCCACGCTAGGAAAGTCGAATCTTACGAAGAAGTCGGCCAGAAATGTCTTCTTGCTCGTATACTACTACAAACACGAATCTCCCTCTAGGCTCGATTTCCTTTCTTTCCCAAACAGTCGGCAATGTAACGTAACGATCAAGATCTTTCAAAGAGTAAGAGCCAATAAATATGAGCCATTCAACTGGTCAATCGAAACTTTGCACGATGTTGTTTGCGATATGCGTTATCAAATGTTGGATTATTTCCTTCGTTTGTCCCTTTTCTTTTTTTTTTTCCCCCTCCAACACCGACGATTTGAGAATGAGCGATGACAAACGAATATCTTCTTCTTTCGAAACCAGAGCACAGACGAGACGGTTCGACTTCCTGATGCAATTCTTTCCTTCTGGTTGATTATTCTGGTTGATTATCTTTATAAACTCGGCGCAATCGTTGACCGACTTAAACCGACTGAGACAAACTGGATGTGCGAATGTCTCTTGGATCTGTGTACCCTTGCGTACGGGCAACAAATTGCGCGACACTGACGACGTTAAAAGTTTTGAACCGAATGCTCCAGCGATGTCTTCTGTCTAAGAACGATCCGGGTATCTGATCCAATCGCGAGTGCCTGTATTAAAAGGCTGACCAATAGTGTCTACGCTGGAGGGTCGACCCGACCGTCAATTGGAACCACTCAGTGTTGATGAGCAAAATGTGACTTGGTTTACCTCGTAAAATCGTCCCGAATTTGATCGACAGTACTGAACCTCGATCAATACCTGATCTCTTCCGCTTTTCTTTTTTATCGATCTATATCCCTTCTATTTTTTTTTTTCCAAAATCGAATAAAATCCAGCTGGTTCTAATCGTCGTTATCCACGACGATCCAGTGTCTCGCTCGTGTCTTCGTCGCTATTTCGAGATCACGATGACGACGTTTACATCAATTTGACGAGCAGTTGCGTCGTAAAAGATGCTCGTTTGCCACGTGGATTAATTATTTTGCGAGCCGTTATCTCGAAACTTTGCGGAGTATGTTTTCGTTACTAATTCTCTCCGATGAGATGGCAAAAAATGGAAAAAAGAAGTTTTTCGAGTCGATCGCAGGCCGGGCAAGCGACTAATGCGAAGAGGTGAGAGGATATCGATGCGTTTCCTGGTTACGTTATTAGAGCCACGTGCCAGAGACGGTGCAACGAAGGACGTGCAACAATTGTTAGCCGTTACTAAAAGTTTCTCGCAGTTTACGCGAGAGTGTATTTGAGCAAAAATTCTGGAGGATTAGACGAAAAGACGATTTGTTACGACTTTTTCCGTTTTATCGTCGTTAATGAACTTCCATACTCTGCTCTGTGACAGCGATCCTTAAACTTTCAGCCTGTTGTTCGTAACTTCGTTAAACTTCGTCCCAGAAAATCGATGAGTTAAATTAATATCGTAGAAGCAGAACCTGAAACAACAAAATTAATATACGTCCACGGAACAGGTGTACCGGAAGGATACATTTTCCGTAAATGTTAATTCTGTGTTCGAATACGTTAAACGGGGATCTCTTTTATTATATATAAAAAAAAAATATATATATATATATATATATATTACCAGTGTAGAAAACGTTCGACAAATATATTCTTGCAAAATATACTTTAATTTATACGACAAAATTTTGCCCACACCTAGATTGATTTTCGTCGAAAATATCCACACCGAGAATTAGTTAGTGAGAAATGCCCATTCATCGTGCTCGTCGAATGAATCGTCTGAATACTTCCTAATTCCCCCGTTCCAACATTTTCTCCTAAACGTTTTCCACTGTTCTCCGCATCTTTGCACGTATATCCGTTCAGCAAAGCTGGCCTGCTCAAGGGGGTTAGACGTCTGAAGTTTCGCTGATTGAAGTTAATCCGCGAGGTCATTGTTATACGCGCTACTCGGTTCCACACAAATTAAACCGTGTGTCTGCCTTACGGGGAAGCTCGACAGACCCGCAAGTATCAACGATACTCGCGTGTCACGTCCGATCCACACGACCGCGGGAAAAAACTCCGTAGAAAATCTTCGACCGATCCAACGAGATCAACGACCACCGACAGCGAATTACTTCGCGACCTTGTTCCTTGCCACCGCGAGCAAACACTTCGTTCCTTCAACGAGGAAGATTATTCGTTTGCCGGCCAACTATTCACTCTGTATTAAATTACAGTCTTATGACGTAGATGAAATTATTATTTTCAATATTTTTTTCTCGAACGGACTTACGCAAGCTAGAAAATAAAATTCACATCTAGTGATTATTCAATTGAATTAATTTTTATTTAAATTTTAAAAACAGATGGAATCATTATCCTTCAAAGAAATAGTTCTCAGTTTTTTAATGATGCAAGAGACTTTTAAAGAATTGGTTTCATTAGTTAATTGCGAATCGTTTCCAAGCAATATTTACTTTTTTTACGAACGTTAAATCTATCAACCGAATGATTCTTCGAGTGTTGAATTGAGATGTTTCTTTTTATTAGAGAATTTTAATTGGAGAATAATCGATATTTGATCGAATTTTTATATTAAACGGCATTGTACGAAAATTATTTGAAAATAATTATTTTTATAATTGTACAATTAGAAAACGATTGTATAATAGGCGCGAGGAAGCGTTAACTCGTCGCGTAGATGAAGAAATAGTGGCAACACGAGTAAAGATCTCTATTCCTGCAAATTATACTAAGAAACCAAGGTCATATATATATCTTTATAATGGACGAATGCACGTTTGAACCACGTGTAAGATCTGCGCCGCCTGCTTTTGATTGAAATTATAAACCGGTTGTTACATTGATGCTACAGCATCGCGACTCAACTAACTTACTTCAGAGACAATGCCAAGGGCAATTCTTTTTCGAATGTCATTGCCAAAGAAATTAAAAAAATTATAATCACGCTTGTTGAATTGCATCCAAATATAGGTTGCATCTTTTCCCCACATTTTTAATCCTTAAAATGTAAAAAATTATAAAGGGAAGCCAATCTTTTTTTGTTCCTCCTATGATCTATTTTATGATCTTTATATTGTTCCACGAATCGTTCGTTGATAGAAAATTATGATCAATTGTTGCGAATGCATCATCATGTGATTCAATTCATATTTCTGTGCTCGATATCTTGTAACACTCGTTGACATTCTTGCTCCAGAACACCACTCCAAACCTGATACCGATGATTCAATCCTGGCACAGCGTGTAAAATCGTCTTGGTTCCTAATACGCCTGTAGTTTTATTGGAAATACCGTAAAATATCCTTAAAACTCTAGAGTGTAAGAGTGCCATAGCGCAGAGAGGACATGGTTCCATTAATAGAAACGCCCAATATCCTGTGCATAAATAAGGGCCACATTTTTCCATGTTTGTTGCTCTCGTCTGTTCGGATTTATGCGTGGAATCATTATTCCTTCGTCCTCGTCGAATCACAGAAGATACCAGAGATTCCTCTTTTGGAAGATTAATTTTCGACAGCGATGTTGGATAATAAAGAGGAGCTTCCTCTACATATTTCCTTTTAATCTTTATTTCCCTTGTTACATAATTTTCTATTTTCTCTGTAGAATCGATCGTTTCTAAATTATTACTACTCTGTTCAAATTTTGATTCTAATTTCCAAGCACCCCCACCTTGAAGTTTGGCAACAAGATCCACGACGAGCATAGCTGCGTGCCACATTGGATGTTGATCGATTTTCGAGGCAGCAATTGCAAGAATTCTTCCATCCTCCGGATCAACAATCACAGCGCTGCCATTGCAATTCTGATCACCGACAGCCTCTAATTTGGCTGCCTCTACTGCAACGTTCATATACCTCTCTATCAGGTTTAATTGATGTTCTGTAAAAATCGATCCATCGATCAGACATTCGATATTTGGATCTGGATGAAAGTTCAAAGGCCAAATGTTTGAGGCCCGAGTCGCTTGCGCTTTCGTTTTGGCTCTTCTTGCTGGTACTTTCAATATCTGAAAATTATCTTCCAATAAAGATAAGTCAAACCCTTTTTCTCTTAACATTATTTTTAATTTGTCTTCTGTCAAGATACATTTTTCGGACGAATTTTCCATTTCTGCTGATATTTTCGTACAATTTAACGGTGCTAATAACAGTTTGTTGGAGGAGCAGCGTTTGAGATGCTGGAAACCTGGCAGAATGGAAGAAATACTCTGAATCGCAGTCGAGATATCCTTTTTCTGCTTAAGTACACCCACGTAGACATCTTCGAGGGATGGATCGTCCGTGAGGTCAGGATTTAAGATCGGTCTCGCTATCCAACTTCTAACAGTGGTTCCCATTTTGCTCTCCTTCGGGCATTTGGGCGAGGTGATCGCCATTTTTCCTGAAAAGACGGTGGTGCCTTCACTTTTCGTCGTTTCATCTTCATCGATGCTTTCAAAGTTTTATCTTCGATGTCTTTAATATATCAAACCTTCTATTTATTTTCTTACATTATAAATTTAAATGTAGATATATATTCGCATGAAGCGAACAAAGCGGAAGAAAAATGGACACGTATCGTGAAAGAATGTTGTAGTTAGTGACGGTGCACTTGGTACGGCTCACAGGAGGAGAAGCGATTTTAAATTGCTGTCAAGTTGGGCCACGGTCGGATCGATTGTCGGAGTTAGGCGCAATTGTACGACGTTGATCCACGAACAGAAGAAATAAGGTCTTTGTTGCCACGCCGTCCCGATCCTGCGATGATCGCTTTCCAGTTAAAACGTGAAACCTGTGGATGGAACGGTAACGACAGACCGTCGTGAAATCTTACGATATTTGCCTGATTTCATAGATCAACTTTGGCGCGAAGTTTGGGCTCTCGAATGAACACAAAATGTTCGGAATACGAGCTCGAAATTCCATAAATTTATCTCGGGACGATAAGAAATAAGAGAGATTAGAATTATTGAAAGGGGAATTTGACGAAGCGAGATTGAGAAAATATTTATTAACGTTATACCTATTATTGTATCGTTTTATCAAACGAAGAAGATATGGTGTAAAATAGGTCTCGAGACGAGATAATGCAGCTCATTGGATCTCAGCTCGTTGAAAATGCAATCTTTTTGACCATGTAAAGAATCGTATTGCTAAGAACTTTGAATTGATATGGTGAGCTTTTAATAAATTGGTGAACGAAATTGGTTACGTCAATATCGAAAATGTGATTCGATGATGATGCTTGAGAAGTCACATCTTAAAGCGTATTAACTGCTCAGCAGGAGGAAAATATGCCATGGTCGGATGTTCTGTGAATGGATAAATGAGTGGACAAGACAGATTAAATTATAAAACGTTCATAGCGTAATAGCGTGCCGCGAATACGAGGTTATTGTTAAAGATAGTCATTAAACGAATGATAATTTTATTATGAAAGAACGCAATGATTGAATTTTATTCAAACAGACATACTTAGACAAAAATATAATCATGCAAATATATTATTATTCGTCGTACAAAAATTTGATTTGTTTTGTTTTTTTAATAATTTTAATAAAGAATATTTTAATTGAAAATATTCTACGAGTAGAAAGCATATAAAATCATTTGTTAAAGAATTAGAAATGTTTATTTATAATTTAAAGATGATATTCTGATAAACGTTGTATTCGCTATCGATAAAAGAAAGTTAAATTTCGCGCTTCGTTACGTCAACAAAGATGGTGGTAGCACATTCGTGCAAAGCGTGTTCCTTATATAACATAAAAGGAACAACAAGCATACTCGAATGACGCAGCACACAAATGTAAACTCATTAAGAAAATGTATTCAATGAACAATACGGCCGGAATAATTAATACAAATTTATAAATAAATTCTAATTGATTTAAATATCGCAATTTTCTTAATCACAATGGTTCATTTTTTAATGGGTTCGATTCACGTGCCAATATGTCTTCCCTGGCCTTGAATCGAGATATGACACGCGTGTTCCGCATCTTTCGCGCTTGTCAAACAAAACAAATCAACTCGATCGAAATAGACAAAAGATATTTTCAAAAAATGACTCGATCGTGACGAACAACCTCGCATATATATTCTTTACGCAAGTGGCAAAAGAAAGATGAAAATTCTTACCTGCTGCTGTGAGAAAGCACGTTTCAACGCCTCTTTTCGGTTTGATTCTTTTCCTCGACCATAAACGAGTAGATTCTTGTCAACCACACCTTTCGATGCTTTACACTCAAACTACGATTCACAAATAGCACAAAAACACACGTGAAAATATCCGTAGAGATGGACGTTTACAGGAGAACGACTTATACCTTTCGCGATTACGAGTTATCGACGCTACTGATGCACACTCTGTCGGTCATTAGTGTAAACTCTCGACTGGAGGAAGGGAAGCACGACCACACCACGGTCCTTCGTTTTTTCCTTTTTTTTCCCTTAAATATCTTTTATTTCGGTTAATAATATATCGTACTAGTTACTTAATATTATCCTCAAGACAAAGAAATAATGGCCTTTGCTCATATTGCAATAAATTCGATATATTCTACGTAAAATGTAAGTTGTTTCTAACGGTTTTTTGTTTATATATGTTATGCGTATTACAAATATTCGATGTTTTGGTTATGAAATAGTGTTTTCGTTGAAATAAGATGTCCTAAATGTAACTTTGATATCGAAAAGAAGCTAAAAATATCTTATTCTATTGTCTAGTTCAAATATTATGTTTGATAGTGTTTTAATATCGACGAAAGAGAACGATTCGAGCAGCTAAAATTTGGCGCGAAAACGTGCATGATGGCGTCATCAATTTATTTTGCAGATTAGTTTTTTTCCTCGTGATAGATATAATTTTTACTCTTCAAATTCGTAAGTACATTTTAAATAGTTATCTATTATTTTTCTTTTCGTAAATGATCGTGTGTTTGTTGAAATAAATATTTTAATTTTACTACCAAATTTTTATATTAATTTCTACAAACAATTATTTGTAAAAAAACGTAAACGTAAACGCTTTTTTACATAAAGAAAATGATGAGATCATATAAATGTGTATATATTGCGATATATTACGATAATATTCGATCATTTTCTTTGAACATAGAAAAATAAGAAAAAATATGAAAATTAAAAAGAGATAATATTAATAACTAATTACGTAATGATATAATTTATATCTCGAACGATATATACGATAGAAAGCAATCGTGATTGTTAGTCTGTTGAAATTATTCGAGTCAAGTTTATGTAACAGATCAGTTAATTAATCAAATAATAATTAATGAGATTATTTACGTGCAATTTGCATAAGTTTCGAAATATTTTAAATACGTTATGATTGCATCATATAGATATTCCATGTGTTCCTGAAACAGATATATTTCTTATATCATTTCGAATTTTCGAAAGTTTTAAAAAAAACTATTAATTTGAATCAAATTTACCAAAGATGTGATAAAATCAGGCCTTGATTTTCTTATCGCGCGAACTGCAAAGCAAACATCGCATTCTTTTTCTATAATCATTCTCTCCAAAAGAAAATTTAAGGCTAAATAAAGTCCACAGCCAGTTACACCATCGCTAATTAGAAAGAGATATTTTCGCAATAGATATTTATTTCATAATAAATATTCAATTTATATAAAAATATTTTTAGATATTTTTGGATATAGTCTTACTGGCAGACAACGACGATAGGACTATCTTCTTTCAGAATTTTCTGTGCTGATTGCCATAATGTTACTAATGACATAGTCGCAGGTAAATCTTGATTTCTACCAGCTTTCCATTCCGTGGAACATAAAATTGTTACGTATTGTTCTGTAGCAGGTTTCTGAAATTACATATGTAAAAATTGATGCATTTCATTTCCAGATAAAATCTGCGACTAACCTCTGAATTATCGACGAGTATCAGTTTCTCTAACGTGTAGTACTCAAATGTTGCGAATTCTTTCGTTCGAACATTTATATATGGTACTGGTTTAAATTCTCTTTTTGGAACAATAGGACAACACGTCTGTACAAAGGTTGATATAAATATAATTCATTAATAAAATTTTTTTAATATTAAATTAACAAAAATTTTATCATAATTGATAAGATACCGCATCTTGTAAATCTGGTAGTTGTAACATAATGATAAGTTCCACTTTATATTCGGCAATCATTCTCCAAAAATCACTAAATGTTTCAGGTAATGGTAATTGTGTTGCTATATACTGATTCTGTAATTTTACACCATCTACGTAAACAGCGGATATGTAATCGCTGTCTTCATCTGACGAAGGGTATCTTTTTAAATATACTCTGCCTGCATTCGCTGCAATGGAATTATTGTTATTGCACTCTGATGGTAGAGAAATATGAAGGAATAGTAAGGAGCAATCAAATTATTCCAAACCTAATACTAATTCTGGAAATCTGTTTTTAACAAGGTTGCGTTTTGATAGGGATGTTTGATTGATCGATAATCGAAGAATTTCATCGTGCCAGGTCATTTTTTCTAGACTTTTTTTAGAAAAATTATTTAACACACAACATATTTTGCACATTTTTCATATAATATATAGTTTTTATAAAAAAATTACCTGTCTCGTTGAATCATCAATTGTTCTTTAAGCTCTATAATATTAATTGATAGATTTTTATTATATGGTAAAGATGTTGAAAGAAAAAGTAAACATTCTAGGAGCGTTAAATGTGCAAATAGATACTGTTGTTTATTATCTATCATATTAATTCTTTGATTTCTAATTGCTTGAGTTTCGGAGAACACGTTCACTGCCTAAAGATATTTTTAAAAAGTAGGTATTGCGTTCTGCTTTCAAAAATTCGCGAAAATATTTTTTTAAATATATTTTACCCCTTCTGCCGCGGCGCGTCGAAGGCAAATGTCACATAAAATTACAATTCCAGTTCTCCCAACACCTGCACTGCAGTGGACCACGACTGGTCCACTTCCGGGTGGTGTTGCCAAGAGTTTCTTTAAATACGTTACCACAGAATGCGTGAACAACGGTGCGCCATGATCTGGCCATGCTGTGTAGTGTAAATGCTCGATCTAATTTTTCAATTAATCATCGCGTTAAAAAAAATCATAGATGTGTATACGTATTTTAATCGATATCAATTTTGTTTCTCACTTTTCGAGCTTCGTCTCCATACGTCACATGTAAAGTACGAAACGTAAAATCTGCAAACACGGCATGTTTCGCATTGAAAACAATTATATCTCCGTATCTTTTCTTTTTTCCAATATCAGGCCAATATTGTTCGCATTTTGTCTATAACATCATTTAAATATCATTGTCAAATACTTATTGATTTTAATACAAATTTTACCTTTCCATCTTCAATTAATTTCGCAACCATGCAAATGATGTAACTTTCTTCTTGCCAGATCATTCTCCAAAAATCGATGATCGTATTAGCTTTTGGACCTTGCGTAGCTATGTAAAATTTCTCCTTTTTATAGCCCTTTTATAAAAATTCCATTTATCGATACGATCTTTTTTCAAGATAGAACAATATTATTTTTTTTTTATCCATCTTAATGTCGATTACCTTGATATAAGTAGCGTTAATATAATCTGAATAAGGGTCATCCGGAAGTTTCTCTAGTATCACACGATTTTCATCGTCTGTAGAATTTAATTACTAATTAACATATTCTACAATTCTGTAAGGAAGTATTTACGTACAGGCTATGAGATTTCCATATCTATTCTTCGGTCTGTTTTGTTCTAACTTTCCATATTCCCATGGTTTCGTTTGTCCTCGTGGAAGGCTCTTATTTGCAATCCAAATACATACATACAGTTACAAAATTTATTACATCCATCGTAAAATATATTTAAATATGAAAGAACTCACATTATACTGTCTATCGAGTAATCCAGACTCGATTGCATGCTTTACGTATTTCTCCAAGTCTTTCACTTTTACAAGTGACATTCCTCCTTCTCGTTGATTAACGTCATTAATGCATAATGTATCTCCGTTGTAAGTGGTATTCTCACATGATAGAAACTTTTTATCGGACGAGGCAGTAGTGACATTTAAAAATTGTTTAGAACTCGACGATATCGATTCTGTTTCAAGATGAACCAAATCATGTAGCGTAATCTTTTCCAAAGATCTTCTTTGCTTTCTACGATGAATACAATAGCTATCAAATTATTCATTTCATTCGATCGTATATAATAGGAAGAAAAATTTGTTTGCACCTTTGATAAAAATAAAAAACTAGAGCCCCAACGATAAGAAATATCGTGATAGGAATGATCCAAATTTCGTCGTATCGTTTCGACACTTTGCCAACGCGAATTGATGTTATCTCCACGATTATGATCTGATCGTTTATAAATTCTTCTTCGATTAATACTATCGTTATTGCATAAGACTCGGCCGGTTTTAGCGCGCAATTCATGGCATTACCATAAATCTTGTTATCGCCTATTGTGAATGTTTTATCGGCAAACATGTCAGTCTATTCGAAAAAGGGTGAAAGTTTGTTTGACAAAAAAGTATATACAGAGTGCAACATCTTTGAATGTGTCGATTCTAAAGATCAAAACGAACACAAAAGTTGGCAATACAAAAATGTCAAAGCTTGAAGCTTTTTTCTTAACTTATAAGCAAATTTAATAAGTAAGTTTTCATATTTTTTAATAAACTTTTGCGTTTCTTTTAATCTTTAAGATTTGAAGATTTGTTTCCAACAAATATATCAATACTATATATTTATGGTAGTTGATTTTAAATAAACGAAATGTTACATAAAGATTCGAATACTTACAGAAAATTTGGCTGCACACCACGCGATCTCATAATATTTGATATCCATTTTCTCGCGCAGATAGGGGCTCAATTCAGTGTAATTCTGGCAAGCCTGGCTACCTTTTATAACAACATTTGTTACACTGTTTTTCGTGTCGTTCAAAATGGGGGGAATGTGCAACAAGATCGTCGAGTCCGTATCGCGCATTTCCATTGTTAATTCTTTCTCGAATGCCATTGCCAAAAGCGTCCTCACTTGTCCAAATTTCTCCTCCCCGTATAATCCGGTATTTGTCACTGCTCGAATGGAAATTTCATAAATGGACGAGGACAATAGGTGTAATATTGTACTGTATCGCGATTGATATTCTTCAACTCGATATTCGTAAAGCTTGAGTTTCTGTGATTGTGGAATTTGCATTTTGAGACGCGACGATATCATTTCTGCCCTTATCACGAATTTCTGAAGATGTCCACCCGTTTTCCAAGGGTGAGACCATGTTAGATTTACCATCCCTTTTTCGAGAGCCTCGACGATGAAAATTTCCGGCGCCTCTGGCTTAATTTTCGCCCAAATAATTTGCAATGCGGTCGATGACACATTAGATGACGTTGACACGTTTACGTTCTCAGGATATATCTGAAAAATATTCATACGTATTCTTTAAGATTAATACCGTATCTCATTTGATCAATAAATGGCGCGTTTGATACCTTGATTTCTTTGGCTGGATGTTCAACATTGGCGCAGATATATTTATCCCATAATTGGCAGTACTCGGTTGGTCGTATCTTCGATATAAACTCGCAACTCGAAAAACAACTTTTCACCATGTAATATTTTATTTCTCCGTTGACAGGTGGTTCTGGTTTTTGCCATCTGAAGTGTACTCTCATCGATTGCAAGTCGATTTCATAAATCTCTAAGTTCTTCACAGGAGGTGGTTCTGTTGTAAATTAATCTTAATTATTACTTAAGAGAATAATTTCTTCTTTTTAAGTGATTGTTGCAACGATCTAACCTTTCGGAGGAGTAATGAATATTAGTTTTTCATATCGCGATTCATTGTGCTTTTCGGTGGTATAATTTCTGATGGCATAAATTCGTGCTTCGTATATTTCAGAGCCATGTAGCACATCGTTCAAATGGTAAGAATATTCTGCGGTTTGCATTGTGATGCTAAAATTTTTCACCGCTTCGCTAATGCCAGTGACAACGATTTTTGCAATTATAGGCCCAGAAATTGTGGAGCAATCTTTAGGCGCGTCCCACGTCAATGTGTAATTTTGAAATCTTAAATTATTATATATTGCGGTTGGAGTATCTGAAATGAGTATCAAACTTTCATTGGTCTCTGAAATGGAAACTTTCGTGAATCGTCAAAAATAAATTCTTTTTACCTGTTTGTTTTGTAGTGAACTCAATTTGTTTCTCCGGTCCACAAAAAGAGGTGCAGGCTGCAATTTTTCCAACATAATGCGCATAAGGAATTAAATTTGAAAATGTGATATTGGTGACCGCAGTTGAAAGGTAATTAGTAGTATTTTTCTTTGATTCAATCTTCAAATTTTCACAACCGAGATATGTTCGAACCTTGAAACATTGTTACTTTGTAGTTAAGTAAGTTCTTTGAATAATTAGAAGTTCTCTCTTTGATTACCTGTAATACAACTTTGTATTTTTGTATGATTCCATTCAGATATAAAGGAGCATCCCACTGCAAATTGATTTTCGACGATGTCAGTCTCATCTTGAAATTCCTTATTTCCGATGGCACTATTGTAAACAGATATCTCAGAGACCATGGAATCGATGGAGGAATTAAATTTAAAAAAAGTACCTTCATGAAGAGTTCGAACTTCTTGTGAATATAATAATATCATTGCTCCTTTGCTGATTGTAATTTTGTAGAAGGTATAAGGTATGAGATTTGTAAATTCGTATGGCAGTTTAATTAAACTTCCTTTGTTAATTTGAATGCCTGTTTCCAGATTCTCAAACGCGAAATCGTACCAGTTACTTGGACAAGAATACAAGGATTCCTAAAAATCGATGGAACATTTTCAAGGAGCATAGAAAAAAATGTTGAAGATACAGATAGAAGAAATAATTATTACTTCTTGATCCTTCGTCAATATTAAACTAGTAGTTCTTATTTTTACGTGAAAGTTGACAGTTGCTGAAAAATTTTCTCATTTATTTCTTATCGTTAAACTGATATTTGTCAAGGATGTATGAAATGTAATAGCTTACGAATGCAACGAGTTGTGAAATTCTTCGAATCACTGACTATAGGTACGTTATCATTGATGTATAGTATGTAAAAAATTTTATAAATAATGCCAGGCTCCAAATCGTTGGTATATCCAATCATCATTGAAATATTATCAAATATTTTGGTATAGTTTCCCATAGTTTTCAATTCTGGATAAGTAATATTATCTTCTATTTTCTGGTAAAAGATATATTGATTATTTATAAAATTAAAGCAGAAAATTATATGTACAAAATTAATACTATTTTAATTACATGTATAACAAACTTATAGCCAAGAGGTATTGTTTCATTGGATGATAATGCCTCTTTCACTGAAAGACTCGCGCGGACCATTGTTTCATTAATGAAATCGATGTTAGGTGGTGGAAGTATGCCATTATTCGTGTTCGTCACTAATGCGTTAATATTATATAGCATCAGAGTTATTGCAATTAATAGATTTGTTCCGTTAGATATACTCGTTAAATTCATATTCGGTATATTCGCTATGTTAATTTTGCACTCTCAACTCCATATAAAATCACAGAAAATTAAATTTTACTACATACAACGTTAATACATAACGTGGAATATTAAACTGAACGCATCTTACAATTAGAATGATTTTATATGGAGCGAGGGATCGACTTCCTATTGGGTGAATCTACGATAAGGAACATCCGGTTCTTTTCTGATACGTTGAATATTAATAATTATACAGCGTTTCGTTAAACTGAGCGTATCGAGATAAATATACGTATCATAATTGAGATACATTTTTTCGGAAATTTTTATTTAAAAATCGATACAAAATATACAAGGTCTTACAAAAATATTGTACTTGAATAATTTTCATGAGCATGGATTATAAGTTCATTCTTAAGATTGATAATGTCATGTCAACGTTTAAATGTTTTCTTATACTTATATATTTCCCCTCTCTTGTGTTATTCTCGTATAATAATTCAACTCTTGATTTGGCAGACTAGGATTTCAATCAATGCTCAATCGGTCAACAGTTTCTTCAACTGTAAAAATGATTCCAGTTAATATTTTTGGCTGGAATTATTCTTAAACAGGGCGCATCATAGAGGAATAGAATCTGACGAAATCAAGGCGAAAGACGAGGTATCCAAGAATGCACTCTTCTGTGTCGGCCTAAATTACACCTTGGTGACAGAAGCGCGAGCAGAGCCAAAACGGCACCGAGTAAAGAAACTCCGCACAAAGCGCCGGCCGTGACATCGTGGAGAGGAGTGCCGGGTTTGGGAGATTTGGCGGCGAGCAACAAAAGCCCTGCGCAACTGAGCGCCGATAATCCTGCGAGTCCAAGTCCTGTCCAAGTCTTCCTCAACGTTCTGCAAGCGCCTGCCAAGGCGCAACAGGCGCCACAACCCGCCGCACTGTCGTAATAATACCTAGAAACGAATTTCGACCTGTTTAGCGTTTGGTAAACATCTAAATCATCCTCGGTATCATTCTTCATGGACATATTACCTTCTTCCTTGAGTCCATGACAAGTACAGTGCCAAACCGCAGGTTAGAATTCCAACCAAGACCAACAAGAACGGCGCGTTTCTTCTATCATTCTTCTCTAAACCGCTAGCCAAGGTTGTGTTCGCGTCGCTGTTCGGCGGTGACAGCGGTGGAACCTTAATAAAATAAAATACGATTGGATCATCGTTTCATTCCCTTGCTCCCCGCAAATAAGTAATATATTTTTACTCACAACTGCGGTTCTAGCGATGAAGGCACTTTCCACGCTTTGATACCCGTTTCTTTTCTGTCCAGCAGGTATTACTTGATACCTCGGTGAACCGGACACCATCGGCATAGATTCTAGTCCATTTTCCATGTATGCGTAACGAGGCGGTGGGTCACCATGACCCATCGTTACAAGGTCGACCGGAGCTGTGCCAATGTAACGTAGCCTTCCACAATTGCTGGCCGGGCAAACAACATCCTGTTGGCGGGACGGGTTTTCCAATAATGGTAGGCATCTTCGTGCCGATGACTCTTTGTTCGGGGTGGAAGTGTGAAGCCCCCCGTTGAATGTACGATTTTGTGGAGTTCCATGTGGCGTGGAACGAGTAGGGCTGAACGTTCGACCTACATTTCCGAACGAGAACACGAATTTTAATATCTGACTTAATATTTTTTCAAAAAAAGAAAAGAAAAATGTAGAGGATATTCTTTGAAAAGGGATTTTGTTCGAATTGAATGTCGTAGACACGCGTACCGGTCGGAGAACCACCTGGAGTGAGTGCTCTTCTTTGTGGCGTACCGGTTTGATTGAACGAGTATTGCCTCTTTGGAGATAAGGTCCTCTCCTCGGATCTCGATCGAGCTGGCTTCCTGGGTGTGGCTAATATCTCGTGCAATTTTTGCGTAGCCAAGTTATTCTTGGGCGAGGTGGACAGTTCCTGACCGTTTCGTTCCGGTAGAGCCGGCGGTTCCTCTTCTTGCAAGGGCACCCTGCTATAACGGCCTACAAAGTATAACATTCACTCTTTTCTCATCTTTTCTTATTTCGCCGTAGAAAAAAAATCATGGAATTTATGAATTTCATCGAACCTACCTTGCGGCGTGTTGATATGCCCCCTCGCCGAAGACACGCGTTTCACCGTGTTCCACGGGCCTTCTTCGTCCTGGTAATCCTGATCACCCGGTACAACGGCGTATCTTCCACCGTTGTTCCGGCAACTTGGCATCTGCGGTTCCCGCCCGTCGTCTTGGTTGGCCGCCGGTGCGGAACGTTGTTGCACCTGCTGGCGCGGAATGAACTCGTACCTCAGGGAACCCCTTCTCTGAACGTGACTCCTCTCCTCGTCCTCTATGTACTCGTACCTTGAACTTTGATTGTATATAGAGCGGTGTTCCTCCATCGGAACGCTTCCATACCTTCGATGCGCCGAGTTGTTAACGCTGTTACCGTCCAAGTAACAACGATATCTGCCTCCACCTGCCTCCCCGCACTTCTCTCTGATCCTGTTCTCGCCGATTTCTTGAAACGCGGGATTCGTCTGGCCACCGTTGCATTGCAATTGCAACGGTGGAGGCGGCGGTGGTAGATCCTCGCCGCCACATTGAAATTGAGGCGGTGGTGGCAGGTCACCACCACCACCGGCCTGATCCTCCGGTATGTATTCCGATTGCCGGCAAAACGAGGGATTTGTGTAACAGTGCACGGGGGCCGGTTCCGATATTTCCGCCATTTTTTATCGCAAGCTTTATCGCAATTAATTAGAATAATTTCGATCTACGTGTTCGAAACTTTACGCGATACTTACGTTGCGACAGATATTAGAAGCATATTTATATTATTGGCACGCGAAGATGGTAGTCAGTGTTTATTATTTAGAGAGACGCGCACATTTGTAAGTTGATTTCGAATCTTTCTTTCGATTATTGGTGTTTCTGATTCACGAGAATCAGCAAAGCGGTGCTCACGTAGGAGGGGGATGTCCAAGTTTCGAGGGAGAAGGTTACCATTCGTGCAGGTGGTGAGACGATGATCTCTTGCGCGGGAACGTGGCGTGGCTTGCACATTTTCTTTCGATTTCTATTTCTCCTCTAAATATTTCTTCACGATTATATCACGATACACGAAGAATAGCAAGTCTCGGGTTCGAGACGCTCCAGTCCAAATTTTCCAAACCTTCTTCCGACGAAGATATTTTCCGATGATATTTAAAGAGGCAGGTAGAAAAAGAATTTGTTGCGGGAAATTCGTTTCGACTTCACTTTGCAACTTTTGCCGTTGAACGAAATTGACGAGCCCGTTGGGGGAAAGTCCAATGTTGAAAATGCGTTCGATCCGTGCACCACGGTTGCTCCCAACAAACTGCCACATGAGTTCCCTCAAGAGCAGATGTACGAAGGGCGTTTCTCCAAGCGTTTCTCCAGTGCACACGCGCGTATATGTGCGGCACATTACCTGAGGGGTTGTCAGAGGGTTCGCATAATACGGACACGGTGTCACATCTCAGGGTGGGGGCCCTGCCACCTATAGTACTTCCCTTCCAACGTTTTCCTGTTTTTACTGCTATCCTCTACAGTATGTTCAAGAATTTATACGACCTTTGCTGCGCTCCCCTCCCGCTCCATCCGCGACATTTAAATTTTAAATCCCGCTCCAAATGAATTTCGATTGATCGAACGATTTTGTGAAATCGAATCGAAGTTGAACATCGCGGAGCACATTGGAGGGTATTGGAAAACTCGATCTCGCGATAAACGAGTAAAATCGAGCATGGAATAATTTCATTTGATACGTTAGAGTCGATAAAAATTCACGACAATTTAACGATCTACGAAGTTTTATTTTTTTTTAAAGTAGACGCGAAAAATGCAATTTATTGATAAATAAATCGAGATTATCATGCCGCGTATCGTAAAAGAACTCCAGTCGAGGGTACTATAGATAACTTTCTGGGCAGCTGCTGCGACCGTTGGGACGCGTGCCCCAATCGTAACAGCTGCTCCAACACAAATGCGTATCGATCACAAACATGCTCTTTATCTTTCACTCTTCGTGCACACTGTTAACTCGTACAGTGTTAGCGAATGTCGCGTTAACGGCCGAAAAGTCATCTCAAAAGGGTGGAAGTCGATAGAAGAATTAAAAAAAAAGAACATAAATTGGACGAGATAGAGTTTTTTTTAAAAAATCGAAACTCTTATAGAGATAACTTAAAACTGCGTGATAAAGAAATCTTCAATTTCAACGAAGGATTTCCAATGTTTCGAGAAAAAAGTTTGAAATAGAAATAATAATTAAGAATCGAGGGCAGGAAAAGTATCTGCGATACGTTTTTTCTCGACTTCATCAATAATATATGTTTTCATCGATGTTTTAATAAATGTAGAAAGTAGGTCGCTAGACACGATAAACACGATAGACATATTTTCTTTCTTTCCATCCATGTTAAACGATAATCGGCCGCCTATTCTCCGTAGAATTGCGATCAATCTCCAAGAAAGTGTAGCACGTTTTCTGCTCCAATGATCGATCGATCGAACGACAGAAGAATATTATTCCGGAAGATCGAGAAAGTGAACTTTTCTCTTTTCTTGCGACGAATTCGAGATTCACACGCGCATTATCTGTTTGTTTCTCTTTCGATTATTTTTCTACGCGATTTCCCTTCTCAATATTTCAGATCGTTGTCCCTCTGTGTTCGTCCTCAACGATAACCGCTTAAAACAAGAAACGGGAGGAGGAGGAGGATGTTACACGATGATAGGCCGCGTGCATTGGAAAACGGAGGGGGGTTACACACGTGCGTATTCAAGCGACACGCGTTCAAACGTGCGTCATTTTTCTTTCTCTTTCGTTTCTGACCGTGTTCTCTGAGTCATCCAATCTTTTACCGTTTCAATCTTCGATCATTGTACCCTATCGTCCAAATTTTTTAAATATTCGAAAATGATTGAAAAATACAATCGTAACGAAATTAATCGACTCGTGTCGTTCAATATTATTCTTCGAACTTCTTCTCTCGAGATAATTTAACCGGGAAACTTACTCTTTAGCAGTTGCTCTGACTGTTCGAAAAGAAAAGGTCGGGTGCCGAGCCCGTGAATAATAAAGGTTAGCGCGATACTTGGACGAGGATTCCAGCATGAGTTAAACTCTCTCACGAGTTTAACTCTAAACTGTAACATCGAATGTATATTGGGTGCAAATTAATGTAATCGTTCGATTGTGGAAAATTTACGAATATATAATACTCGATATAATGACGACGACGATGAATTCCATAAGGAGAGGCGAGAATACGTACGCTGGTTGCATTTCTTTCTCGCAAGCGTGACATCGTTTTATGACCATGGAAAGTGGTATGAAGAAGGCATAAAACAACGCGAAGGTTCATCTATCCATCGTTCTCCTCTGTTGTCCCTTTCACTGCAAAACCGACCGCGTGGGAGGCCTGCTCAGATTCTCGTAGTAATTTCAACCCGAACTAGTCTTCGTTCTTCAGTCTTTGCCGATGTGTCTTTCGCGGCAAACCTTCTGTTTCTCGTCAAATTAGTCGCCAAGTGATCGATCGGAAATCGATTCTTCTTAGATTCCTTTCTCGATCTATCGAGAAATCGAGGATTAGGATTCGAAAAAACGCGCGTTGTCGTGTCATCGAGAGGATAATCAACCGTTAATTATACCGTTCGTTCGATGAATATTCTCGATCGAGAAATTCGATTGTGTTCGATATTGTCGATTAACTTCGAAAGAAGCGAATTCGTCGCCGTAGCCAAGTTCGCTTAACACGAAATAATAAAATAAAGGGAAAATATTTGCTCGGCAAATAACAGATGACAAAACGAACGTGGAAACTGGATCGATGATTTCTCAAGAGATTGAAAATCCAGTGCGGCTCCGTACAAAGAAATCGGTGAAAACACGTCGTATGAGAAAACACGCGTGCAACGAGATAATTGCATCGCCTTCGTAGTCAACTGTTATTGCATAATATTCGCAGTGAAGGAAGGGGAAGGAAAAGAAAAAAAAAAAAAAGGAAAAAAAAGAACGACGAAGCGTCAGGTTCGTTAAACCTTATTTACCGTTCCACGTTTCACGTTTATTGGATACAAGCGCATGCCTCTTCCTTCTCCTCTGAATTTTTGTCCTCCTGTACCATTGTTAGAAAACGAATTGCACAAGCGCAGCCACAAGAGGAGTCACGAAGAAATCCATGGGACGACGGTGGGACGAAGATTTCAATTAAATCCAAGCGGTTAGCATAATTGGTTGCTCGCTGCTTCTGCCGCTACGGAAATCATCGTCCATTTCTGCCTGGATGGAACAATTCACCAATTTGCATTTCAATAATTCCGCGTTGCGGTCGTCGAATAGTCACTCGTCTATCTGAATCTAGTAACGGTGAAATTAGTCTTCGCCACGAATCGTGAAAATCCGTGTCGCCTCTTCCTTTTTCTCGCTTTTTTCGACGCTCGGTATATTATTTCGTTCACGGTCAAGCGGCCTTCATTCAACGGGAAGTGGAAGAAAGCGATCGGTCAATATTTCGTTCTATCCTCTGTTGCTCTGTTGATATCGAATCGATACATCATCGATCATGACACACGATAGGAGCGTCGAAATTTTCGTAAGTGCAATCGAGAATTTCCCTTTGCTGACCTAGACGATTCTACTCGTGAAACTGATAAAGATCGGTGGACAACGATGGAAAACGTGTACGTGATAAAAGTGAAAACGAAACCACCGTTGTCCTCCCTCTACCCATCGGAACGGCGTTATTCGGCATCGACCGTGGGAGGTCTGTCCTTGGTGCACTTCGGTCTGGGCGCTCTTTCCCTTCTTCTGGGCAGCCTGGCCTTATCCCTTCAAGGTCCAATCCTATCGGTCGCCTGTTTAGTCCCGTTCGTGACCGGACTGTTCGCATGGAGGAGATGGTACATAGACAGGAACATCGCCATCTTTTTTTACGGAAGTCTGTTCTCCTTGATGGCGGCCATCCTCTGCTTTGTCGCCACGATATTCGATATCGCCGCTGCCGCGGAGAGCAGAGATCCTTTGTGGTCCCTGGAGAAAATTTTCGACCAACAAGATCATTCTCGCTTCGAGCAACGATTGAGAAACGACGCTCTGTTGAACAACGAGACCGCCTCGTCCGACGGGGACACCGAAACGTTCGATCATCTGACAAAAATTAACTCGCACTCGCCCACGCCTGGAATTATACTCGATAACATGTCCAACATATCCGGATACATCTTGAGAAGTTCGACGATCGATCCTGAAATCAAAGATCCGAGCTCGACAACTCTCGACAACTCTCGAAGAGGGGAGGGGAATTTGAGGAAAAATGTCACCGAGGAATCGTTGGAGATGATGAACGACGGAACGATGTACACGGATTATCGCAAATCCTCGCACACTAAAATTTTATTAACCGTGAACGTGCTCGTCGCCTCCCTCCTCGAGGCATTTTGGTCCGCCCTGAGCGCTAGAATAGCCCTTCGAGGAATGATGAATCGTTTGCCGGAAAGTAGTTACGCGAATGGGAGAAGCGGAAACGGAAAATTGGATGAAACGGCAATAGGGAAACGGAAGGCACCGGCTCCAAGGCCGGATATTCTGGATCACGACCGTAGATTATCCGAAAGCTTGCAAAATTTGACGGCGCGGCACAACCTCAGGAATTCGGGGCCGAGATTGCCGTTGCCGGAATCGAGCAATGAATTCAGAGAAAGGGTGGAAAGATTTCTGGCAAATCAGGCGGCCCATCACGTGCCCGAAGGATCTTGTTCTTGAAAAACGTTAAGTTGGAAAGAGACGTTGAAATTCGATATTATTCTCTTTGTCTAACGTCACAATTCACCAGCGATCGTCGATCTCACATTATATATATATATATATATATATATATGCAAATATATCAATCTTTACGTTTATATGTAATTACATGTTTATATAAGATTAGATAGTAATGTTGATCACGCGATGCATCGTTTAATAGCAATAATAATAAAGTTCCACTCAACGAAATTACTTACTAATTTCCTTCATTGACGGTTTCGTTAATTAGCCCGACTCGATTGTTGAATACCCGTAACGATTGCAGCACAATTGGTGCACGGACGATTGAAAACGGGCGAGCCGAGTTAAAGAACGGGTTTAAAACCGTTTTATAACGAGGCTTCGTTCCGAAAGATCGTATCGTTCCGAAGACTCGGGCCTAGAAAACATTTTAATTGCGATTTATTAACTTCGCTCGCCACGTTCCTTTTACCTCTGTTAATTAAATGATTCAGCAGCAGCATCATACAGTTCTCGACCAACTTCTTCTTCTTCTTCTTAGATGCGATCTCGATGTGTATATAAAAAAAGAAAAACACGTTTCGTCTCGAGAGATTGTATTGTTCTATGTAAATATACACTTACCGTATTATAATCGATCCAGAAACGAATCCTTTCCTTCTTGGATAGATTTTTTGTTTAGATTCGATACGATTTCAAAAATCATGGAATATAATGCCATGTTACACGTCTAATCGTGTAATTCATTCATCGCGAATCGTGAACTTGAAACATAAGCACGTACAAATATACGATCGATTGGCTCGAAGATATTGGCTCATTTTTTATCCTGTCGAGAGCGAGAACAATATGGATACGTACAATGGGTTGGCCTCCCGTGTCCGCACACGTGTGTATTGCAAAAGTTCAACGATCGTTGCGAAATCTTATAATCTGATGTTGGCCAACGAGCGGTAAGGGAGTTCTCTAAGGAAACTGCTGACAATAGAGGCCTGCCATAGATCCGACATTCCTCTTTAAATGGTTACCTGGGTGTGTTTCAACGACATATCGGTCAACGATAAAATCGTTGACCCGGGGGACAATTAGTATATCGCGTTCATATCCGTTTCTTCGATTCAATTGGAGGAACTTTGAGGAACGGTGAAAGGATATTTTTCGACATTGGGCGACACCAATCCTTTCGATTTCATCGCTCTTAGCAAAGGGAACGGTTTATGTACGATACGATACGATACATCGAGGGTGGTACGCGTGGTTTTCTTTACAAAACGAAGCTTTATTTTATTTTTTTTTTTTTCTTTTCCTTTTTTTTTTAATCGTTAGTTAGTTACATCGTTCGACAATGTATCGTTCGACTTGCTACGTATCCGCTCTTAAGGTACACTTTATCGAGTAAACAACGTTAAAACTATTCCTCTAAGCTGGCCTTCTTTTTTTCTACCCCACCTCTCTTTCGTTTTTCAATCTCTCTGATTATAAAATATCTGTGCCATCTTAACGAACGGCAATATTCTCGATCGATATTCCCCCTTTTGTAATATTCGATTCAATAAAAATCAATATCTCTCTTTTTTTTTTTTATATATATATATCGTCGTTCTTGGTCCACCGGGATTTTGTATGATCGAAAATCGAATCTGGCCTTACAACGGAAAAAAAGACTCGACGAAGCTAACACATATCACGAGCACGTGTGTATTTATTATATGTTATACGACATATAATGTGCGATAAATACTTTTCTTAAAAAAAAGAAAAAAAAAAAATCGCAAAATTTCGAATACAGATTCAACAAATCGTGGACGTGCAAACACATTTCTCCCATATTCCGCATATATTTTCCATACCACGGAATTTTGCGAATAGAAAAGAAGGATTGTTCGAATGGCAGTGATCGAGAATGATACGATAAAAAATAACGTGCTCACATTGGAACTCATCGAATGGTAAATATATTCCCGACAATTAACGTCTAAGTGCGAAATCGAGTCGACGTCTAACGAGATATTGGCAAGAATAAAGCACACGTTTGTACATGGACGTTTCTAACGAATTGCCAAAGCAAAGGTCTCTTCTTTTTCAATTGGATGCATCAACTTGGACGTGCAACAACTTTCGAAACTTTTTTTCTTTTTTTTTCTCTTTTTATTTCAGAGACCTTTTCTTCGACACATCGCTTACGAGACTAAATTTAACTCTCTCTCGCTTTTTTCTTTTTTTACCAACACACAATTTTTTAGCGATTACGAACAACACGGGCGACATCGTTTAATTAATAAAAATACATCGTTACGCAGGATCTCTCGCACGATTACTCTTTCGCATATAGTCTACTCTTTTTCTAACCCACTTTCAGACTTGTATTGATAATATTAATATTAATAATAATAATAGCAATAATAATAATAATAATAATACGTAAATCGTGAGAAAAGCACGATCCAACGCGCGTATTCTTCTATCCCATGATTGCGCTCTATAATAATCAAGGTTTACGTTTTAAGCTACACTGTACCACAAATCACATCGCTTACGTTCTATTTTTATCTTTAAATACGATAAATTTTTGCACTCTTCGCCGCACACATCTTCTTCTCTATTCTAACGTGGACAATTTCCCTAGTTCTGTTTAACTGGTTAGATAGATCGTGTTTCGTAAGAACATCTCCATGGCGTATAAATACAAAAAAAGTCTACGTAACGCACAGTTTTCAACGATCCTCTCTCTCTCTCTCTCTCTCTCTCTCTCTCTCTCTCTTACAAATCAAAGTAATAGTAAATTGTACGATGAATCGAGGTCTCTTTTATCCCCTATCTCCTTTCCTCCCTCAACGTTTAATTTAATTAACCACTCCATTTCTCCACCGATCGATAAATAAATCACACGTTGACCGGTCTAACGTTGTCATCGGATTGCTGCTGCTCGCCACTTTGCCAACCCGAGTCCAACGTGGTCGAGTCGCTCAGGCAACACTGGGGCGTCTCCTCTTCCTGCTGGCCCCCTCTGTAATCCCTGTAATCCCTCCCCCTCTCGGCCTCCTCCTCTCCTCCTCTGAAGTATCCCGAAGTGGCTGGCCCTTCCTGAAGTTGTTCGTCGTCCTTCGACGACGCGTAATAAGAGTAACGGCCCTGTTGAATCACCTCGTATTGGGCGTCGGGCGCTAGGTACGGGCCTCTCGCGCTTCTAGGTTCGTCGCTGTTCGCGTAATTGTCGGACGGTATGTCGCCGCCGTCCGAAGGCAACGGGAGAGGCATTCGCGATCTCTTGGACAATTGTCGTTTCCCTAAACGAGCCGCCAAGTAATCAACCCCCTCCGTGTGCTCCGCACCTGCGAAATTATGCATAACCTCCGTGTGATTCTCGTCTCGCTTCCGATCGTTCAACGAGATTACGTTCTTTACCTTCCTTCTCCACGGCCAAGTCGTAGAAGCTGCTTTCGGGTCCGCAACAGGAGGACACGTCGCCGAAATATAACTCGCTCTCCGACTGTTTCGGTCCGGCGTTCGCCTCCTGTTGGAAAGCCCCGTTCTCCACACCCTTCAAAGGCTTCCTCGCTCGTCTACCCTTCATCGTACCCTCGTTCCCCCCCTCCGGATCGGTGCTGTTCGATATCTCTTCGGCATTTTCGTAATTGTCCGAGGGCCGTTTCGCTGCTCTTGATCTGTGATCTAGAAAAGAAAAGAAAAAGAAAAACGCGCGTTATTTCGCGTTTAGTTTGTTCGGCGAGTTGTTTCACCATCTTTTTTTTTTTTTTTTTTCTTTTTCGTTACGCCTCTCTCCATTCCCTCTCACCCTCATTGTTCTCGAAGTTCTCTATTCGTTTCGCGATTCTGGGCCTTTGTTCGGCTACTTGGGGCCGTCTAGCGGGGCTGTTGGGGTCGCTGTAAGGTGGTGGAGGTCCCCATAGCGGAACCGGGGTCTCCAGAACGCTGTAGGATGCCGTGCTCGGGGTGTACGGGCCGTTCTGCGTGTTCAAAACGGAGTAGGGGCCACTCGATTGGGAATTAAGAACGCTGTAAGGGCCATTCGTGCTCTCCACGTTGGCCTCCGTCTGTCTGGCCTGAGTGTGAAAGCCATAATTCGAGTCCGGGCTCGGTGCTGGACCTCTGGACCTGGACCAAGGCAGCCGCCATCTCCTGCAATGAAATAAACGCGTTCGTTTTCTCTTTTCTGGCAATCGATATCATTTATCCCTTCCAACATAAATATGTATCGCGCTCGTATCGTTTACGTTATCGTTAAATGCGAATCCAAACGAAAAATGGCTGTTGTTCCTTGTTTTCGACGAAGCTAAAAATTAAAGGAAAAAAAAAAGAAATTGTATATCGATCTTAATTTGCATATATATATATTTTCCGGTGGAATAGAGTTTTTTTTCTTTCCCATTATATTGGAACAAAAGGCAACGTCCATCCATCATAATTTATTTCCGAGACGAAGAAATCCGTTGTTCAAACGTCAGAAGCTGGATGGAATTCCGGCTTAATTAATGCCATACATTAGCGGATTACCGGAATACAATGTGTCCTGGGAACACAGAAGCGAGGGATCGTTGCCTTGTTTACGAGTTTATCGCACTCCCCCACTCCCTTCTCCTCCGATATTCGTGACATTCGTGAATGAATTCTATTGAATACGTATCGTTACGCTCGGATGCGAATGCACACGATGCATTTCGAATCGCATCGATAATTTCTCAATGAACTCTAATCGGAGGGGCCGCGCGTTCCGTTCTATTGAATTCGTAAACGATCCCATCCAACACGGGATGCGCCGTTATTCTCATCTTTTATCGATTCAACAACTCGCTTGATGCGAACATCTTGATCTCTCCTCTTCGATAACGATAAAGCGAGTTCGTTCTCTCTGTTCAAAGTTGGTTGCTCGCGATCGATTTTTTGGGAAAAGCGTTAGATGAACGAACCTGGACGGTGCCAGGTCGGGATTCGGCGTGTAAAGATTTCCCGGCGTCTGGGCCCACCAAGGGCTCGCGCCGCCGCAATCGTTGCAGCAACCGCACGATCCGCCCGCCGGCCCAACGCCGCCTCCTTGCCCGTACAACGATCTGCATCTCAATTCCAACTGTTCCCAATACATCTTCTTCTTCTCGTGACTCAACAGCTGGTAGACGAGCATGCAGGAAAATATGCAGGCCAAGATACCGGCCACCGAGACGCCGAACAGGG